GCAGTAAATTGATCTCCAACCACGGCAATGCATCTTGAATCCCGTTAGGATATCCTCTGTGATAGATCCGTAAATCCAACCTAGCTGCATATATCCAAAAGTAGCAACATATTCCACAATGAATCAACAAAATCTGCACTGACTTGACTCATAAGGTACCCAAATTTAACAGCGGATAACAGAAGAAAATTGTTGAAAATTTTACCTCTAAACCCCATTCGGTTTTGTCTTCATAACCGCAACTGATCACATGAATGGCTTCTTTAAGCATCGCTGCTGGGCTTGAGGAAGGAGGGACACCACCTTGTTCCATCAAAGTTGAAGTCACGAAAATTGCAGACTGTCCGAATTTCTTTTCAAAATTCATTTGGGACATCAGTAGCTCTTTGTCATCATCCCTTCCTGCTCAATATTATGTAACCTTAAGTTTTACTTAAACCAGAATAAAAAAAGTATCATTGAAATCGCTTTTGATAAATTACCTTGTAGGTTTGTACCATCTCCATTTGCATCATGCTTGGAGTACTTCGGAAGCTTCTTGCGGCGTCCAAAACACGGGCAGCAGTCACAGCTTATCATCTTTGGGCGCTTAGGAGCCTTCGGAGGATCGTAGCCATATAAAGCTTGCCTTCTGAACACACATCCTGTTCCCACGTACACAGGACCTTGAATTCCATCCAGACCTTTCATGTTAATCTGAAAATCAAAGAGAAAAAAATTGTCATTTCAGTTCATTTTATTAGCACATCTTAAGAGACAACTGATCTCCGTGTTTCCTGTGATGATCACTTACATCGAAGAAGACTGTATTTCTGTTCGCATAACGATCATTTCTGTCAATGCCATCGAATCTTTGAGGGAACTGGACATAGCAAACCTTCCTTCCAATTTGGGGGTCCATCAAGAAACACATTGCCTCTCTTGCAGCCTTGCTGTTGTTTACGTAATGGTCACAATCCAAGTTCAGCATGAAAGGAGCATTTGTAAGTACTCCGGAGACACGAACCTGATCATATACATGTATGAGTAGAATTTGTTACTTGGTAATCAAGAAAAAGAAGAAAAGGAATATGCTTGAATTGAAAGTTTTGTTTAGTACCAGGGCATTCATGGCACCGGCCTTCTTGTGATGTTGAAATCCCGGTCTCTTCTCACGAGACACGTAGACAAGACGGGGAAGCTCATTTCCTTCAGTATCAAGACCTCCACTGTGACCAAGAAAGACTTGAATCATGCCGGGGTGATCCTTGGTGTTGTTTCCGGGCCACGGTGTCCCATCTTGCATAATCCACCCTTCTGGCGGAACCTTTGTGGCTTTTGCAACAAGCGCATTAATCCTAACCTTGAATTCCTCATACTCTCTCTGCATTTCGTCATCCGTACACAAAAATTACAGTCAGTCAGCCTTCATCTTAATCAAGCAGGTTCTAGTACTGATATGAATGTGATTATATACGCAAACATACCTTCATAGCTCGGCGTTCCTTGACAAATGTTGGCTGCACTTTGTCCTTGAGATAATCAATCTTCTCGCAGAAGTAGAACTCGGGCGCTCGAGGCTCAATCGCAAACTTCTTGCAGAAAGGTACCCATTTGCGCGCAAACTCAGCAGTTTCTGACAAGGCTTCGAAGGTCAGCATGGAAGCTCCATCATCAGAGATGTAGCATGAGATCTTATCGACAGGGTAATCCATGGACAAAATTGAAAGAACTGTGTTGGCTGTATTAAGTGGAGGTTCCTTCATGGGATCCACAGTACTCACAAACACATCTACCGGACAAAGCATGTTCGGTTCACCCTCCCTCTCATACCTGCATCAGTTGATAGCATCGTATTAACTTACTAACTAGTTAACGCTCGGGTGCTACTGCACTCATATTTCACAAATGTGTGTGTGTATATATAGACCTGAGGGAAAGGCGATCGAGGTAGGTCTCCCGATCAATGGGGTACCACTTTGGGAACTGATCAAGGATCCATGAAATTGCAAACCATATTTCACATGTGACAGACACTAACCAGAGACCAAATGCGTCATTGACCGGATTCAAAAGCCTGTATCGAAGGAAGAAGGCCAAAATGAAAAGCCGAGCCACAATGATCATCCGATAAGGGTTGATCTTGCTTGAAGCAATTGGTACTTTCCTTGAGAGTGGCTGCCTAGCTTCATCTATCCTGCATTATGCAGTACAAATACACAACATTATATATGTTGGTAAATGAAATTAAGGACTTAATTATTGGGTTGAATTGAGTTAATTAGCTTAAAGGGCATATATGTACATGGCCATGTCGGCATCATTCAAATCATCGGGTTGATCATTGCCACCGAGGTTGCCTTGCTGCATTTTCCAGTCGTCCATTCTTTCTTTCCATCCACCTCCCTCTCTCTTCTCACCGTCCCACCTTTCACTTCCTGTATGAATGTAAGGAGCGCGTATATGTGAAGGAAAGTTTGGATAGATAGATAGAAGAACAAGTGAATGAACGAAGTATACCAGTCTCAGAAGCCGGATATGGATGCACTCGTTTGTGCAACGAAGATGATAACATCTGCGGATCTCCGTGAGCGTGCGATGAGTATGTGAGCTCACCGCTTACCTGCACGAAATTAAGAATGCGCACATATGTGCATGAATGAAAAATAGTACTAAAGTGATCCTTATGCATGGATCACAATTTATCGAGAGAGCTACTATTGGTACTCCAAAAAAATCATTTTGCACTCAGTCTTACAGGGCGGGATCTGCCTCCGGCGATTACAGGTATGAAATGCGACTCCTGATCAGGATCATCGGGGCCTCTTCCGTAGCTCATCTTTCCATGGAGCATGGCTTCAGCCATCTGCTCATTATTAGGCTTGTAATACGGCGATCTGGCAGCGGCGTTGCCGTTAGTTTGATCATGGTCATCTTCCGGATGAACGTGATTCATGTTGAATTCGTGTTCAATGTCATCAATGTCCTCTTCGTCGTCGTCTCCTTCGACACGGGGGCTGCCTTTGAGACGCTTGAATCGGGTTTTGCACTGAGGGCAGTTCTGGGAGCCTTCCCTGCGCTCGTACTCGTAGCATGGCCTGCACACTGGGAAGCCACACTCGTTGCACGCTACGAACAAGTCTCCGTCCACCGTCAACCCCACGTCGTCGCCGCATATCTCGCAGACCTGTCCGTCCAAGTTCCTTAATGGCTTGTGCTGCACCCATCAAAAACAAAAAAAATAAAACTTCAGACCAATTCACAAAACAAACCGAAAGCAAAGCGTAGTTGCTCAAGAATACAAGAATCCCATGTCAAAAAAAAAATGACAAAATTAAATACGACGTATATTGAATGAATCCACTTGTATAATTACACGAGGATTTTGTGACAAAATTACTTCATACATGATATATTGTGCAGATAAAGATGCAAGTGTGAGGAAAAAATATAAAATCAGCGTGATTAGAAGTAAGTTTTTGACCTATTGTACATATAGTCACACATACCAACAAGCAAAGTCATAGGACATACTAGTCGTTTTTTTTTTCAAATTAATCGAGGTAAGCTCTTTGATACTGGTCAAAGGCACAAGGTGCCTTTATCAACATCGACCATCCCCTATTTGTATTAAACCAAACCTCGCAGAGAAAGAGAACCAACCAAAGAAAATCCAACACCATCAAAACAAACATAGTGATGAATGTATTAGCTACCTCTTCATGGCCATGAATGACGACGAGTTCATTGCGGTTGTGAGACCCGGCAACAAGTCCGGCGCTGGCTTCCATGGTGACAGCCTGTGTCGATTCGAGGTTCGATAGCGATCAATAATGCTGAAGGTCAAATACGGTGAGGGTTCTATTTTATGATGAAGGATGGAAGAAGTAGTTCGTAGCAAGGTGGGGAGGGTAGCTTGGGAGAGGTCTTTCTCTTACCTAATGAGAGAGAGAGAGAGAGAGAGAGAGAGAGAGAGAGAGAGGGAGTCCACGTAATCATCGAGGTGGCGGATGGTGGTTGTTAGTTGCAGGGTCTCCGTTGCCTTGAAGCTAAGCTTTCCTTCCATTCTTCAAATATACTACACAACCTTCCTTCTCGTTTTTGCGCTGTCTCCTCTTCATATTTTTGTTGTTGTTGTACGTTGTAACTATTAAATTGTTGGTGTCTCTAGCTACAATTTTTAGTGCTCAATACACGAAAAAATATTTAGTTTTAATATATGTCAATCATACAACCCTACATACAAATTTTTCTTTACGTATTATTATATAATTGATACGCAACGTTGACAATTATTGACAAAGTGAAATTCCACTTCCATTTGGCAGAGAGTGTTGTTTGAGATACGTGGTGGAAATCCAAAATTCCTCTTTTCGTTGCAATTAGAAAATCCGAAATGTCGTCACAATTTTTTTTTTTTTTTAATTTGACGTATTTTTGGTAAGGATAACTGTGATGGTTGATAATGTGTTGAAGAAATCATTGCCATTTGAATATCCTAAATATCCATTGACAAACATATATAATTATACATACATGATCATCAATAACGTATTAATATGCTTGTCGATATTTAATGGACGAGCATATGCCACGCAACCAAAAATTCTCTCTAGGTAAAGATGTTCTTTGGTTACGTTGTTAACTTGTTATCAACTTTGATCACAAATTCAAGATAGATTCTTTGAGCTTTGACAAGAGCACACTTCCATTTTGACAAAATGTTGGCTTGTGTTACGCATAGCTTGAGAAACAGTGGGCCCCGTATCCAATAAGAGAGATTTTTTATTGTGCCAAAACATAGCCCGATACATTATGTGTAATGATACAATCGGTTGAAAACTTGAAAAACAAATTCCAACCAATTGTATTATCACACTTAATAACTAGCCTGTGTTTTCGACACCTTGAGAATTTTCTCGATAAGAAACACTAATACGCAAACAGCCGCCAACAGAAAATACTTAAAATACTGCAGCAGTTGCCCAACTTACCAAGGAAATATATGAGAAAACAAAATATGGGAGACAAAGAGAATACTTGGGTTCTAAGCCAACTTTTGAATCAGTTAGGTAGGTGAGTTGAAGCCTCCCCATCTCACACACACAGAAATCAGCAAAATACCCGAATTTTCTACATAAAATCGACCAGCAAAATATATTACAGCTTACCAGAACATGACCCGATTCCAAATTCCGAGCACATGCTTTGGACGCTTTTCTTCGTTGAATAATGCAGGCGTACCCAGGTTTGACCACTCCGTCTGCTTCAACAGCAACCACCCAGCACCAGGCCAAATAATCGATTAAGACTATTTGATGATGCATTGCAATCGCCTACACTTTCCTTTGGCCATATTCGTTTCCTCCTACCGAGAAAACAGCTAGAAATACGAAAATTTGTATCAAACACAGTTACAACATTGTTTGATCAGACGTCCACACAAGATGAGTTGTTTTGTGGGACTGTTTGGGTCCTGACCAAAATAAAATGTTCATCCGTGGACCAGAAATGTTTCTTAATTGACATTAAGAGTACGTTGTAAGAAATTGTAAGAAATTCTGCTAGTTTCTTGATTGATATTAAAAATCTAATCTACATGTGTTCTTCTCATACAATCATATCACACTAGTGCTGTACACAACCTCAGAGATTCCCAACGTAGTTGAAAAAAAACAAAATGAAAATACAAATGATTTACCTATATATAAAACCTGCGGTTGAAACTTGGAGTCCACTCAGACACTAGCTGATATTTCATTCGCGGCCGGGCTTTCTTTTTTCTTTGGTGGTTCTTGAGGTTTCTGCAGAACAGCCTTGTTGGGAACTAAAACCATAGTCATCATCTTTTCGCTGAAGTGTCTAGATTCTTCTGTTGCAAGCTGCAACCCACATGAACAATCATATAATTGAAGAACAAAAGCCAGAGCAGCCGAATAACCCTAATGAAAATAACCAGAACTTAAACGAGGTGCAGACTGCAAACAGTTTATTTTCTAGATCCAGAAAAAATTACAGACCAATCTGAAGAACTTTGGAAATTTGGAAAACAAGAACTTTGGATTCATTTGTGAATCAAGACATAAAGAAGATAGACTTAAACTCAGGCAACAATTTCTGGTAGATTATTCATGTAACTCTGTTTATGATTCTAAGTGCAAGTACACATTAGTACCTCCCCGACATCACTCTGGAATTTTTGGATAAGCTCAACAGCAATATTACGGAACCATTTTTCACGGCCTTTCAAGTTGACTATAACCTTGACCTGCACAAATTGGTAGCAGCTCTCAATACAGAAAAACATAAGAACAATATAGGAAGGCAAACTCTGACAGCAATGAGAAATGTAAGCAAACCTTATCACCATCTTTCAAAAACTTCTGGGCAGCTCTCAAACGCACAGCGTAATCATGTTGGTCAATGTTGTAACTGTACACACAATGACAATGGTAAAAAAAATTATGCATATAAAAAATTTGGCAGCTATCTATCTGAGTATTTTGAACATTTTTTTCATGAGCATCTAATCTATGCAATTCAGCCATTAATTAACTTACATGTCAAACAAACACGTTAATAATAGGGATTTGAAATAAGACTAAATGCAAATAAACAAGGGAAGATTAGTGTTTTACCCCATTTTGAGCTCCTTCAAATCCATGCGGCTCGCTAGCATTCAAGAAAAGACTATGATCAGTTCAGTGTCTTTCCTCAAATCAGAGAATTATGCATTAGGAAAAGCCAGCGGAGTCAAGACAGAGAAAAAAACTCACCTGCACTTTTCTTCTGCTGGTCTCTTTTCTTCTTTTGCTGTTCGTACCTATATTTACTGACAACGAGAAAAGGTACAGATAATTAGATCTACTTGTTATAGGATTCAAGAAAAAAAGTACTTAATATTTAGGGCGAAAGGTTTCTGTACATACATATGTATAAAACAGGATATATAGGTAAAAACACTGAGATCCCAATTTTTCATTAAAACTCAACATACCGGTCAATGTGCTACCACAGTTTGTCATTAATGTACAAGGCATTTAACAATGTCATCCAATGCCACCGAATATGAAATTAAAGCTCTTGCTATCTATGATTAATTACTTCAATAAACTAACATAAAACTATGAGGGGATGTATTAGTTAAGTTTGAGCATTTATCGCCAATAAGAAACAGGAAACGGAAAAACGAAGAAAATTGTGAACTCTTCTAATATCGTATAAAATACGTACTTGTAATCCATTATCCTGAGAACTGGAGGATCGGCCTCTGCAGATAATATTACCTGCAACAATGCAAAAGATACTAGTATTCAAACCATGTCATAAAAGCATTTTCCTAACTCACATCAGAAACTAAAAAATAATGATTGATTCTCAAAGAAACGAGATTTCATACAGCATGATACACTAAATGCAGGTGCTTCACTGCCACTAATACAAAACACATCGTTTCAAAACAATAAACTGAATGGAACCAAGTTCATTGGCACCACCAACGGCAGCCAACATGATCCAGTGCATGCACTGTATAGGTGAAGGTTGGATTCACCGTTGGCAGATGAGATTTCCGGAACTGATTTCCTCCGATACTAATCTCCCTACACATGCCATGTAACACTATGTGCAGTATGTATACGCACGTAAATTTAAGATAAGTATATATACAGGAGCCCTTTCTTAAGAGAGTGCAGGATGGGATAGTGTCCTCGTATAAACTGTTTCTTGACAGTGTTTTCAAGTTCAGTGTTTCTGCCCCACAATGTGGCCAAAACATGGTCACGAAGCAGTTAATGCGAGGGCACTAACCTATTCCGCTCCATGAACAGAGGAGCGGAGTCCCTCTTATGAAGTTCTGCTAGTATGTATGTACATATACATACACATATACATATAATCTTAAATTGTATGTAAAACAAAACCAAAATTAGTGGCAAAATGCATACCAAATCGAGTTCAGCTTCGTCAGCCAGTCGAATAGCCTCACTTTTACTCACCACTCCAACCTATACGGAACAAAAAACAATCCCACAACTCATCAGAAACCAAAAAGAGCACATTTTGAACATAATATTAGCAAAATTTAACAGAACAAAAACACAAACCATGTTCTGCTTGGCGTCGATTAGCCGCACAGTATTCGACCTGTTTCAAAAACATCCAACAAGGAACCACCTCAAAATTCGATTTTGATTAACGTGATCACAAACATAAAAACGCACATTAAGCACTTAATAAATCGATTAACTTGACACTGGAGATATCGAGGGCCTCGTCCTCGTCGGAGGAGTCGCCTTTCCGTGAGCGCCGGGAGTCATTGCTGGAATTGTTGTATCGGGGCCCGCCGCCGAAACGGGCGGTGATTCGGCTGCTGGTGGATGAGAGGGAGCTGAAAGAGCTGGAATTTATGAAACAGGAGCTGTTGAAACGGAGGAGGCCGCCGAAGTGTTTGGAGTCGGCGGAGGAGAGTGAGAGCGGAGGCGGCGTCGTTATGGAAGTGGTGGTTCGGGATGACAGCATGGGCTGCGATGCGAAGCTGGTGGTGATCCCAGCCATGGCTAATCCAAACAGTCAAAATGCAACTACAGCTCGTGTGCTGCTGAGATTTTTCTTCTCCTTATCCATAATCCTATGTTTGGTTGAAGACGAGAGAATCAGAGTGGACTCCATGGGCCTTGGACCCTATTGGGCCACAATTGTTTGGGCCTATTACTCATACAATAAGACCCAGAGTGTGTTCGAGACTTCGAGTTCTACCATGATGGCGCGTTTGCTACCCAGAATCTGAATCAAAATACGAAACCATGCTCCGCTATGGTTGATAAATCTAAGGTTATATAAATAAAAAAAAGCCACTATTACATAAATCAAATTGCAACATCAATCACAAATGTGATACATCTAAGTCTCATTTGTATTTTTTTTGTCTTGAATTTGTAGCATGAAGCTAATAAAAATACGAGTGATTTTCTTATTGAAAGCTTTGAAAAACGTGTGATATTAGTCCTACTGTTTCAATACAAAATACCTTAGATTTCGGAAAAAATGATCGATAAATCTGTTAATTAATCATCAAGTATGGACATGTCATGAGATTAGAAAAGCCATAATTATATAAATTTAAGTGAACTTAAACGTCCTCTATGGTGTTGTCGAACGATGTATGTTTATAAATGATCACTTAAACACAGAAGGTCTTATCTTTCTCTGGACGTTTTGAAAGACTGCATAATAGCTCATTGATCAAGCGCTCTTGCGCTGAAGACGAACGAGACTAAGCAATCTGCCAAAGTTGTGAAAAGTCAAAATGCAACGGTAAAGGAGCGTTCCGCTCAAAGGGAAGCACGTGCTCGAGTGGCAATGGACAAAGCAAAAGCGAGAATGTCAACTTGAAAAAGGCAAACATTGGTGAGAATCTTATATCCCCAAAACCTAAAAATTCATCCGCAAGGTATGTCCACGAAAGATACAAAAGATGAGTCAAGACCTAAAATATCGGAAGATGTAGTCTTATTTGAAATGTTTTAACACACATAACTAAAGTCTTATTTGAAATGTTTTAACACACATAACTAAATGATCGAGTTAAATGGAGCTCTGTGGACATGTGTTGCTCGATGATCACTTAAGTGAACATAAGGTCTTAATAAAATCATTCATTAAAATTTTGTTTGTCACGAACATGGCAACCACCTATAAGTCCAAGCGGAGTTAGGATTACTACGAACTTGTCCTTGATTGCCATGGGATAAAGAAAGAGGAAAACATTACTGCAGCACAAATCTAACAAAAGTAAATAGCTAACTTCTTATTGAATTTACATAAACATCCTACTTAACAGAGGTTTTAGTCTAAAACAAGTAAAACCAAAAACATGTTTACAAGCTAAACTCCGAATAACAGAACATTAAACACACAAACAAAAACAAAGCACCCCAACCCTGCTCCAACTTCAAACAACTCAATCAACCTCCTCAATCTTGGGGCCGGGTCCATTGGTGGAGCCAGTGGAAGCGCCACCAGGCATGTCATCACCCATCGGCATGCCACCTCCAGCGCCGCCGGCACCCTGGTACATCTTTGCAATAATAGGATTGCACAGCCCCTCCAGCTCCTTCAACTTGTCTTCCAACTCATCAACTTCCGCCAACTGGTTCCCCTCCAGCCAATTTATCGCGTCGTCCACCGCCTTCTCGATCTTCTGCTTATCCGCCGGGTTCAATTTGCCGGCAAATTTATCATCCCTCACGGTGTTCCTCATGTTGTACGCATAATTCTCCAACGCATTCTTTGCTTCCACCTTCTTCTTCACCTCCTCGTCCTCCGCCCTGTACTTCTCCGCATCCTGTACCATCTTCTCTATCTCCTCCTTGCTCAGCCGCCCCTTGTCATTCGTAATCGTGATCTTATTCTTCACCCCCGCCGTCTTATCCTCGGCCGACACGTTCAAGATCCCGTTCGCATCAATGTCGAAACACACATTGATCTGAGGCACGCCTCTGGGAGCAGGAGGGATTCCGGTGAGCTCGAATTTCCCCAACAAATTATTATCCTTCGTCCTCGCCCGCTCTCCTTCATAAACCTGAATCAAAACTCCCGGCTGATTATCCGAATAAGTCGAGAAGATCTGCTCTTTCTTCGTCGGAATAGTCGTGTTCCTCGGAATCAGCACCGTCATAACACCACCGGCAGTCTCCAGCCCGAGACTAAGCGGTGTGACATCGAGCAGCAACAAGTCCTGCACTTTCGCATCCCCTTCGCCGGTCAAAATCGCCGCTTGTACCGCCGCGCCGTAAGCGACAGCCTCATCGGGGTTTATACTCTTACAGAGCTCCTTCCCGTTAAAAAAATCCTGCAAAAGCTGCTGGACTTTCGGGATCCTCGTCGACCCGCCGACGAGAACAACTTCATGAACCAGCGACTTATCGATCTTCGCGTCCCTCAAACATTTCTCTACCGGCTCCATACACTTCCTGAACAAATCCATGTTCAGTTCCTCGAACCTCGCCCGGGTAATCGTCGCGTAGAAATCGATCCCTTCGTACAAAGAATCAATTTCGATTGTCGTCTGGGAGGTGGAAGACAGAGTCCTCTTCGCCCGCTCGCACGCCGTCCTCAGCCGCCGCAACGCCCTGGCGTTTCCGCTAATATCCTTCTTATGCTTCCGCCGGAACTCCGACACGAAGTGATTCACCATCCTATTGTCGAAGTCCTCTCCACCCAGATGGGTGTCTCCAGCGGTGGCCTTCACCTCGAAAATCCCCTCCTCGATCGTCAGAAGCGAGACATCGAAAGTCCCTCCGCCAAGGTCGAAAATCAGGACGTTCTGCTCCCCCTTTCTCGACGCCTTCTTATCAAGCCCGTAGGCGATGGCGGCGGCTGTCGGCTCGTTGATGATCCGCATGACGTTGAGCCCGGAAATCACACCAGCGTCCTTGGTGGCCTGCCGCTGAGAGTCGTTGAAGTAGGCAGGGACAGTCACGACAGCGTTCTTCACCGTCTGACCCAGATACGCCTCCGCGATCTCCCTCATCTTCGTCAGCACCATCGACGAAATCTCCTCCGCCGAGAACTTCTTCTCCTCTCCCTTATAGTTCACGACGATCAAGGGCTTGTCTCCAGGGCCCGGAATAACCTTAAAAGGCCAGAGCTTCATGTCGCTCTGCACCGACGGGTCCGAGAACTTCCTCCCGATGAGCCGTTTCGCGTCAAATACGGTGTTATGCGGGTTCATCGCCACTTGGTTCTTCGCAGCGTCACCGATAAGCCGCTCGGTGTCGGTGAACGCCACATAGGACGGGGTTGTCCGGTTGCCCTGATCATTGGCGATGATCTCGACACGGTCGTTCTGCCAGACCCCAACGCAGCTGTAAGTTGTGCCGAGGTCGATGCCGATGGCCTTCCCTTCCGTCTTGGCCGCCATTGAAACTGCTTAAACAAACAGACCGCTTATAAAACAGAGCTCGAAATTTACAGACAAAATTTGGACAGAAGTAAGAGATTTCTGAGAAGTTGAACGAAAGTAAAAGATTTCTGAGAATTTGAACGCTTTCAAAGAATTTTTCTGATCAAATCTGAGATTGGATTAGGAAAAGAAGCAGGGGTTCGTCAATTTATAGTGAACTGAAAGATTATTCGAGAGAAATGGAGAAGAATGTAAGGGGAAGGCGGTGGAAAGCTTACAGGTGGTTCGGGAGTGTTCTGGAATTTTGGGAGGGAAGGTTTGGCTCGGGAAGGTGGGCTTGAATTGTGTAGAATCTCATGGAAATATGAATAATACATTACGTGTTTTTATGTAAGTATTAGAATATTTTATTTTTAAGTTATTAACTTTTTAATACATATATCTTATTATTTATACAATAACACATAATATACTATCATATGCCGATCATACTACAAAAATCTCTTAACCTGGGTGCCATCGTTTTTGTTGGGTTAAATTGGCGGGTGAGTGGGTGGCATTTTGGGAATTTGAGGATGTTTTGGTCGTAACGGTGGGGCAAACTGGTGATGCGGTGGCAGGTTGGCTGCCGTGTCTGTGTACGTCGCGTTGGTGATTTTTGTGCGTATTGCTTGGGCCAGATATGTGTCGATTGTGTTTTTTGTGTTTTGTTATTTTGTGCCGGTCGGACCATGTGAGTATGGGCTAATATTTATCATTAGCCCAAAATAATTGGAAAATAAATTGGTAAATGATTCATTTAGAAAATACTTTTAAAGAGTGAAAGTGCTTTTAGAAAATATTTTAAAACTAATTCTTAGTAGAAATTCAAGTTAATTTTCGAAAAGTATTTGAAGTGATTTTTACAAGAATTATTAGTTATATGCTTCTTATAGAAAACATTTCAAGTGCTTTTGAAATCCAAAATTTTTTTTTAATCTAAAAGTGATTCCAATAATTTAAAATCACTTTCCAAATGACCTGAAAATTAGGAGAAAACCTATTGTTAGATAGAAGGTGTATTGGGGGTGAATTTATTTACTCAATTTCTCGGATTTTCTGATTTATTTTTAAAAAAATCTCAAACTTCTATGCTTAAGCATAAATATAAAATCAATACTCCAATTAGAAAGATGCAATTGATGATGAATTAGGTCAGAAAATAATAAGAGTTTAATTATATTTTTTGTTCTTAAATTTTATTTTATAAATCGATCGCAGTAAACGTTATAGGGCTCGTTTTTCAGTGGTTTTAAAATTATTGAAACATTTTTTTATGAAAGTGTTTTTAAAATTAATCCCTAATGCAAGTGACTCTTGAAAAGAAAAAAAAACACTTCAAGTGTTTTTGAAATTCAAAAACAATTTAACCGAAAACGCTTTCAGTCAAATTTAAAACACTTCTAAACTACTATATGAAATGATGTGTAATTTGGTGAAAAAAAATATATTCAGTTGGGCACTTCGGCTAGCGCAATTTTTACACAAAATAAGAATCACACGCGATTCACGAATGATCTGGTCGGATATCCTTCAGTTTTAGGTATGTTAAATAAATTTGATCTGACCTTTATATAAAGGGAGTTTTAACAAAAACTCACGGTATTGTTCACTTTAACGAAAAACCACATTTTTACACTAAAAAGTTAATCCTGATACTATTTTCTTTATCCTTTATTTTATCTTTATCATTAAAACTCTAAATTTTCAAATTTTTTTCATTAGTTTTCTTTTTATATAAATCATGATGAGTAATTTTGTGATTATACAAAAAGAAGCAAAGCACCCAAAAGCCGAAAAAGTACACGAGAAAGTATTCAACGCAAGCAGTTAGGCAAAAGGACACATCCGTCATTTCAAGAAAAGTGTACGCAACTCTACATCCTAGCGACGACAGGACAAGTGGACAACGACGTAATCACGCTCGCCCGACATCACCAAACCAAAAAAAAACTCGAAAAAAAAATCTGAGGTCGCAAAAAAGAAAAAAAAAGGGCAAATCCAACTCCGACGCTCACACTCTCTCACTTCACCAACGAAAGGAAAGGGCTTTTGGCCTGTCCACCGCCCCCGCGGACCCTTTTATCTCTCTCTCTCTCTCCCTCTCTCTCTCTCTCTCTCTGTTCTGAGTTTCTCTCTCTTACCCTCCGAAGAGAGAAAACCAAACCAGACCAGGAAATCCGAATCCGAATATTTGGATCCGTTTTTTCGTTCAGGATTTAAATCCAATTCAACAGGATTCAGCGTCTGTTTTCGCTGAGTCTTTCGTTGTTGTTGTTGTTGTTCTTTGATTGGAAGGCTGAGACTCTTCAGGAGATTAAGATCGAGGTATGCAGCAGGGTGATCAACCGGTGTTGAACTTGAGACCTGGTGGCGGTCGCGGTAGACTCCTTGGTCCTCGCTTCGACTCCTCATCCACCGCTTACCGGCCCGTCGTCTTCATCGTCGTCTTCTTTGGCTTTCGGTTCCTTTTCTTCTGATGTCCCTCTACTCCGTCCCCATGGCGGCGCTCCCCCCAATTTCTCTATCAAGGTTTACTTATCAAATCTCTCCACTTTGTCTGGATCTGGGTTTGCATCTGGATGTATGATTTGATTTGAATTTGTTGATTTAGTAATAACAAGCCTGTAAAGTTTGCGTCTTTGGATTGAATTGTGTCCAAACAAATATGGGTTCTCTGAGATAACTGGTGTTTTAATGCGTTAATGCGTTGTTTAGACTATATTGTATCGATTTTGAATGTAATTTGAGCAACCCTTTAGTGATTTTAACTCCCCCTACCGACCCTTGAGACTCGTTTGAGTAGATGAAAATCTTTGTTTATATCGTAGCAGGTTTTGTTGCAAGTAATTTTAAGAAGCCAATGTCCTAATTCTTGGCGGGGCGCTTAGTTTGTGTGACTGCTGTAAATATGGACAAACAGCTATATGTAGGCTTTAGGTGGGCAAGCATTCAGTTGTAGGCTGCCCATAAAGGACCAAACATCTGATTCATCCAATGCTGCATAATTGGCAGTTGGCTACTTTGCATTTTGAAGCTTGTGTTTGCACTGTAATGCGGCCAGACTTTCTGAACTCTGTTTTCTTGACAGGCTGGAGACGCACGGTTTGAGGGTCGTGAGCGAGTGAAGTACACCAGAGACCAGATCTTACAGCTTAGAGAGGTATTCAATCTTGGAATACATTTCATGTTAAACAGAGTAGTATTATTAGTTGTGAACAAAAATGATAAGACATTCTCATAAAAACTTTACTGATCTGCATAATATTATACCGCTTCTTTGTAGGCTGTTGAGGTCCCTGATGAAATTTTAAAAGTGAAACAAGAAGTTGACGCTGAATTTTTTGGCGGTGAAGACCAGAGCTGGGGTCGTGCAGAAACCAATGTGAGTTTTCGTCCGTCTAATATTACGTGTATTTTCAATGTTTAAGTGTTGAAGTTGATGGAGCTGTCTATTCGATATCATCATTTTCAAATATCTTTTGGTTGTATTCGACTTTATAATGTTCATATTCTTTTTATTGGTGTGATTAGTTATGTAACCTTGAAGTTATTGATCTCCATATTTATGATATTAAGTGTGCTTTATAAAAGACTTATGATTTTTTTATTTACCTCTTCAGCTGCCAGCTCAATCTCCAACTCCAGCTCCAGCTCAAAATCGTTATTCTGAGCCGGACAGCCGGGATTGGCGTGGCCGTTCTGCACCAGTTCCTACCACTGGAGAGGAACGGTCTTGGGATACTCTTCGGGAGAATAAAGAGTCTGGTAATCGGTTTGATTACAGACAGCAAGAAGCAAATCAGTCTCAATTTTCAAGGACACAGAACCAAGAGGTAATATATTTTAAGAACAGTGTAATTTGACCTATATAGTTTTTCCTCTCTGTAGTTTTGGTTTGTATTTGTCTCCCGATTATCTTTTGTATTGAGTTTTGCCTGAGGGAATAGGTTAGAGTTTATTCTCATGCAGTTATGTGCACCTTTGTTTGGTTCTGGTGTATTTTACTGTTCATTTTAACTTCTGTGCTTGTACATGAGGAAAATATCGACTCAGATTCTTTTCTGATATCATTGGTTTCTCGTCATTTCAGGGAGGGCCTGCTCCCACTTTAATCAAAGCTGAGGTTCCATGGTCAGCTAGAAGGGGTACTCTATCTGATAAGGATCGCGTGTTGAAGACTGTGAAGGGGTAATATATTCTATTACATCTTGATTATTTGCTCACTATATCCCAACAGGTATAATCATGGGATTACCTTTCTGTCCCAAGTTGTCATTGTTTGGTAATCTTTTGGTCTACCATATAGTTTTCTGTGAGAACATTGTGCTTAATGGCTTTCACTTTATGTTTTCTATGCAGGATTCTAAACAAGCTGACTCCGGAGAAGTTTGATCTCCTCAAAGGACAACTTATAGACTCTGGCATTACTTCGGCTGATATCTTAAAGGTTTTTTTTTTTTTTTTTATTTGTTTTTTGTATTGATATACCCTTAATCCTTATTTATAATGTTCTTTTCGGTTTTGTCTTATTACTTCTGGCAACTGTACTCACATTTTTCCTTACATTCCAGGGTGTTATTTCACTGATATTTGATAAGGCCGTGCTAGAACCTACATTTTGCCCCATGTATGCTCGTCTCTGTTTTGATCTGAGTGAAAAGCTTCCCCGGTTCCCCTCAGATGAACCATGATGGTAAAGAAATCACTTTCAAGCGGGTCCTCTTGAATAACTGCCAGGAAGCTTTTGATGGCGCTGACAAATTGAGGGAAGAAGTGAGACAGTTGACTGCCCCTGAACAAGAGATGGAGCGTAGGGATAAAGAAAGATTGGCCAAGATTCGTACGCTGGGAAACATTCGTTTAATTGGAGAGCTTCTGAAGCAGAAGATGGTACCTGAAAGGATTGTACATCACATTGTTAAGGTACGTCGTGGATTTCCTCCTTCACCCCTTTACTCGCTCAGCAATTACTCTTCAATATGTTGTTCATGGTTGTTTTTTTACATGAAACAGGAGCTCTTAGGATCTGATAACAAAGTTTGTCCTGCTGAGGAAAATGTGGAAGCAATATGTCATTTTTTTAGCACTATTGGAAAGCAGCTTGATGAGAAGCCAAAATCACGCAGTATAAATGACATGTACTTCAGCCGAATGAAGGAACTGACAACAAACCCTCAATTGGCTCCAAGGTTGAGGTTCATGGTTCGTGATGTAATTGATTTGCGTTCCAACAACTGGGTTCCCAGGCGTGAAGAGGTAGGCTATTGTAATATGTGCTCGACTTGTATATTAAATTGCTAATATTTTTTTTTAAAACTAATTGTCATTTTATTTTGAAATTTGATTACAGATAAAAGCCAAAACCATCACTGAAATACATACGGAGGCAGAAAAAAATCTTGGATTGCGTCCGGGTGCTACTGCGAGCATCCGAAGTGGTCGTAACAACGTTTCTGGTGCTCAAGGGAGTACCAGCCCTGGAGGATATCCCAACAACCGACCTGGTTCAGGGGGTATGATGCCCGGGATGCCAGGAACAAGGAAGATGCCTGGGATGCCTGGAATGGATAATGACAATTGGGAGGTTCAGAGGACACGGTCAATGCCAAGGGGTGATGGGTTTGGTGTGCAGCCGGGTGGTGGGCATGGCCAGGTGCTGTTGGTTGGAAAATCAACATCAGTGAACACAAGGCTGTTACCTCAGGGTAGTGGTGTCCTTGGCAGTGGCAGGCCTAGTGCCTTGTTGCAGGGTAGTGGTGCCCCTCCTGCTTGTCCATCCAACTATGCTTACGGTGCAGAGCCTGTAGCTCAAGTGCCAGTGCCTGCTAGACCTGTTGCTGCTCCTTACGTGGCACCAGTTGTTGGAAAGCCACAAGCTCCAGCTCCAACTGCGGCTCCAAAGTTGAAACCAGATGAACTTAGGAGAAAAACAATCTCCCTTTTTGAGGAATATTTCAATATCGGACTCTTAGATGAAGCATTACTGTGCGTGGAGGAGCTACAATCTCCAGCTTACCACGCCGAGGTTGTCAAGGAAGGCATCGCCCTTGCACTAGAGAAGAGTCGACCATGTGTTGAACCACTTGTGAAGCTTCTTGAGTATTTGTTTTCTAAGAAGGTGCTTACGACTAGTGACGTAAGGAGTGGATGTTTACTCTATGCATCTATTCTGAACGATGTTGGCATTGACCTGCCAAAAGCACCAAGTAACTTTGGTCAAATTATAGGGAAATTAGTCTTGGTTGGAGGTTTGGATTTCAAGGTGGTGAAGGAGGTCCTGAAGGCGGTGGACGACTACTACTTCCAGAAAGCTATATGGGATGCTGCACTGAAGATCGTTAGCTCTAGTCCGTCAGGACAAGGCCTGTTGGATTCACAAGCATCTGATATTGACGCTTGCCGGAGTCTATTCTACAAAGCGGCCTAGGACATCTTTGCATGCACGAACACGCTCGAGTTTCTGTAACCATGTGGGACTACGTTCGCCCTCTTTTTTGGGTGAGTGATTTGTATTACACACTACATGATGTGATAAGGTAGGGATGCCAAGGGACAAGACAGGTACTATTTATTTGAGTTGTATATTTTCCGAGGTCATAGTTAGTGTGGGTTTAAGGAGGAGGGAAGTCGAAATCATAACGCGAAGGACTTTGCTCTCGAGACATGGGATGGCTAATCGCGTGCTAAATTTGCTCGAGAGTGGCCCCTCGAAGGATCCCGTTGTTTTTGTACTCGATGAGTTGTTTTTGTCAATTTATTTATCTTCTTGACTGATTAATTTTAGTTCAATGTCGAACCTGGCTAGCTCATAAAATGCCTTGTCTTTGTACTCCCACTGTGAAAGGAAATCGATATGGTTTTGAGCTTATTCCTTGAATTTGAGTGCAAATTTTCACGTGTTTCACTTCTCACAAAATCGAATTTACATTTTTGTACTGCTCCTCTGCTCCGAGTCCCGGGGATTGCCGATTGGTTTTCTTCATCCTCTGCTCGGAGTCCTGGGGATGGCGAATTGGTGTTTTTCATTCCTTCCTCCCAGTCCCGGAGAGGAACAACGGATCTCAAGCCGGTGGCAACCTATACTTAACCAGAACGCGATTATTCAAACCAAGACAACCACGATAAATGAATAATGGAGAAACTGGGGAATTCATGAAATAAAAATTTGAAAGCAAGAATAGCTGAATGACTCGTATGGAAGAGCTTTAAAATAACTGAAACGCTTTTGGAGAATGTTTTTGAGTTTCAAAAGCACGTGTATGTTTCTTGCAAGAAAAAATTTAAAGGACTTCAGAAGATTTACTTGCATTTTTACTAAGGATGAGTTTTAAAACATTTTCACGAAGGGCACATTCAACAATTTTAAATGCACTTCCCCAAATTTATCTGACCGTAGTAAGCATCTTACGTTTCAGAGTAGTCACTTTTTACATTCTTCATTGGTTTCCAATGAATCTGAGATTTTGATATGATTTCTTGAAATGTGGATGTGAGGATCCAGCTTACTCAGTTTTTGGTATCCGATTACTCATCAGAATGGTCGAAGGACGAAGGTTTCAACACCCGTACGAGAAGCAATTGCTACTCATTTCACAAGCTTTCGAAATGCTAACGTTTTTTCTCTGCATGTACAATGCAGCAAATGCTGATATCTTGAACTGGGAGATAATCGAACGATGGTGTGTTATTTGCAGTGCTGTTTGTAGAGTGGGTGGCGTCGGTTCTTCTATAAGTTTTGGAAAGCAGAAACGGGCTATATGTCTTGTACATGGATCGAGTCATAGGCGAATTGGCAATACTCGTCGGCCAACATATGTCCCTGCAGAAGCTCAAACGCCAACATCTTGATAGTCTATCCTAATGAATTAACTCATTTGCTTTGGGAAATTCGGTTTACAGATACACCAACCAAATTAGCTCTGCTCTCAAACTGCAATCAGTACCAGCCTTTTTTTACCCAAGTACGCTCAATATTTTGTCAATTATTTATCAAAATTGAGACGATAATAGCGTATTTTTGTCAAAAAAAGCTAAAAAAGATTGCATTTTGCGAGTAGGACTATTTTTAATTGTTGGGTTTGTAAAAGACTACTGAGCCCAATTACCCTTTCTTCTTTTGGAGCTTAGAAATCCAAGGAAGAAGATAAGAGCGAGGTGCTCATTCTTTCTTGCCACGACCTACTTGGCATGCTTAAATTACTGTGTGCTAAAATATCTTTTTTGATTTTGTCAAAGTTGAGAATAACGTCGCTAACACCATAATTGGTAGTACTTCTTTACATCTGTGAGTCGGCAATATTCAATTTAAAAATATTGTGAGTTCGATATATGATTATGACTGACCTTTTGTATAGCCTTGTCCGAATTTCTTCTTCCGTCTAATATCGTTTTATGTCGGTAAGGCTGTCTTACTAGCCCGGCTCTCAAATAGGATAATAACCAATAAGGTTCGGATATAATCAAATACAAATTGACTTAAAGTACCATATGATGTAATTTTTATGTGAGTCCATGTAAGTCGAATTCGAGACTTCCTACTTCATAGGGTGTGGTGAGCGGTCATCTTTTTAGTTGATAGCCTTGATGGGTTGGAGAATTTTTAGTTGTAACGGAAACACGGATGGTACATCACGTGTTTTTATATAAGTGGTGAGAAATTTTATTTTTTAAGTTATTAACTTTTTAACACACATATCCCATCATTTATATAGCGACACGTGGTGTACCACTCCGTGTGACAGTCACACTGAAAAATCTCTCGATGGGTTGGTGGTGGTGTGAGAGTTTTGATTTTGATAATACGGTTGGGTATGGGGTGTGATATCCACACACACCATTTTTTACTTCTTTCATACGTTTTTAGTTTTTAGCTATCGAATTGAATGAATTGAAAAACATCAACGGATAAAAATTAACAAAGCATGTGGATAGCAGATCTCTTGAGTATAAGTAACTAACAATATAAAACTAGCATTGGATAAGGGATGGAAATAGTCCGTGCTGCGTGTAGCCCTTAACTATCACTGGTTTCTTTGTGGCCTATATTCTTTTACTTGGTCTTGTCAATTTCAAAACCATCACCGCAAGACACCACCGTCTTATGATAATTATACCCTGAAATTAGGATCATCTGTTATCTATTCTATTAAGGGAAGAAAAGATGGCTCGTCAACTTTTTGTTCTTTTTTCTTATTAATTTTGTCTCATTTTTTAATACATTATGTTGACCTAAGAAGTGTAAAATAATAATTTTGTATTTTTTGACAAAATAATAGTCATATCCTTATTTTTTTTATTTTATTTTCATTTTTGATACACAATATTTACATAAAAAGGTAAAATGGTAATTATGTAATATTAAGAAAAATATGTTTTTATTAAGAAATTTCATCATCATTGTCTCATCCTTTTTTTTAAAATTTAAAAACTAATCACACTTCTTAATCAAAAATAAAAAATAAAATAAAATAATTCACACACAAAGTGTGCGGTCATCTTCTACTATTCAATAAAAGAAGAAAGCTTCAACATTTCAAAATATTTCAAATTTGGTGTCCTTTAATTAATCATATATTAGTCGTGTTATCAGATGCTTTGTTGACTCGATGAAAAGTGTGGTCCACTAATTCGTCTTTGCTCTATGACTCACCAAAGGACCTGCAAATGAACGATGCAGTCGGTGAACTTAATTTCGTGCCCCATACAGCCATATATATATATATATATAATATTTATATTTATATCTATATATATATATATATATGTAATGTAACTGTGTGTGTGGATCGCATTAAGTTTTAGCAGGCCTGCAGAGATGATAAGTGAGATGAAATCTGCAGTCTCTCTCTCACAGCTCGTCGTCGTTCTCCTTCTGCTAATATCCTCTCAATCTCTTCCAAGCTCCGCCCATGCAACTGCCCACCTGAATAATCCTACCAGGGTTCTTGGCGGCCAGCAAATCCGGATGCAGCAGCAGGAACCAGAAGCAGCTGCAAATAATTACGATTTGACTAGTCGGAAGCTTGGGATTCACATGAAGATAATACGTAGGCCGACTCCCAAAGTTCCACGTGTCAAATCATCATCATCATCCCCAATTTCAACTCAGATGCCTTCTCTTGCTTTGGGTTTATCCCTTTGCCTCTTCTTCTTTCTACTGTTTTAGGTAGTGGATATATTAACAATATATATATTGTTTGTGTCTGTATTTGCTTACGTCTCATCAAACCAATATATAGAATTTACAGATATTATCGTGTTGTCATTACGTAGCTATGTTAAACAGGTATACACTTGTATTGAAAATAAATTAATGAAGGTGTATGCAAGCATAGCGATAGCGAGCGTTATATTGAGCTGTATGCGAGCAGCATCATAGAAGGCAAACAAATGAGGTGGTTTCGTTTGATGGCCGTACGTTAATTGGTGGTGGTGCTTCATCCATCGGGAAAATACGGTCTCGGGAATTTCTATTTCGTCTATGTCAGCTGCTGCTGCTGCATTCTCAATTTCTCTTCATGTCTGCCCCGCCATCCTACCGGCTGTGTTAATCTTCATTCTTTGTTCATTCTTTCCATTGTGATGTATATTATGTATATGCTCTTGATATCACACAACTTCATGTTCCTGATTTTGACTATCATGTACGACGTATGTACCAGGAAAAATTATTGTATGGTTCCCAAGCATTTCTGTCGTTGATATATTTATGTTGAGGGTTAATTTGGTTTTCAGATATATTGGATCGGAATTAATGGATGAAAAATGTTCAAAAATTTTAAAATTTCAAAAGACTATAAATATTGAATGAGAAAAGCAAAAGGCATGTATATTTATTGAGATTCAGAATAGATTTGCAGACATGGAACAAGAGATGAATTTCCATATATACCTAGTTATTTTTTCCCTTAAGATACTATTAATCCACAATATACTAAACTCTTTTTGTTACTTGCTTTATTCTTTTCATCGAATCACCTTAACTTTTATCACAGGTGATGCTAAAGAGATCAAATTTTATAGACTATAGGATTAGTAATTCTTTTTTAAAAATTGAATAGATTCGGTCTTATACATATGCGAAAAAGGTAACATGCGAAAAAGGTAACAAAAAAAGAAAGAAGATGAGTTCTTCTTCCTTTTATCATTTTGGAGCCTTTCTTTTATTATTTTGGAGCTGTGATGAAATTCTCATGCACAGTTTTGAATGAGAGAAAGAAGTGAGAAATCCTCTTTTCATTGAGTGTTTCGAGACAATCAATAGAAATTCTCAAGGGCACCATGTTCTAGGAGCTCAAACTATGTGATTGAATAAATCTTTCTAAAGAAGGAATTCAACTATCAATCACCACATCATGCGTTATCACACCATGCATAATTATAAATATGGTCTAAAAAGTGGTCTCCCTGACATCTTCCTACTTACTAAGTTGTAGCCAAAAACATTATGAATAAGCTCTCCAAGGAAAAGATAATAGAGGTATCACATTCTCTTCTATCCTTTGTTTCCTCTCAAAGAGATTTGTTCCCTCTCAAAGAGATTTGGTCGACAAAGGTCTCTAGCTAATTTATTCTTTTTCATCTAATCATAGCACGAAAGAAGATTCGAACTTAAATATCTTTTAACATAGAGGTTTGTGCGGCTAACTAAGAGGTAGTTACGTAAAAAACACAACTTGATTATCACATCCATCGTCAAACCGCAAATCCCTCTGCCCAATAGTGTTATTCACACACTCATTTTTATCTCTGACATACCTCTCTCAATTTCTAATCACCGAATCAAATAAATTGAAGATATCAGTGGATCAAAATTTAACAATAGGGTGAAAAGTCAAAAGAAAGGTTTGAATCGCGCTACCCTACATAAAATTGACCTAGCATTGCCCTGCAAAACCACACGCAGACACATATGCATGTGTCTATGGCAGGTTCGTTTTACTACGATTAACAAGAATCTTTACTTTATCCACTAGCCATGAAAACCCTAATAAACTTTTTTAATGCTTTCACTTTTCTCGTTATCTTTATGCTTAATTAGTGCTAATTACACTTAGCAACATAAGTCTATTTAAGTGTGTCCCTCTTCTTCATCCACCACTTTTGAAAAACTAGTTACTAGTATTAGGTTATTAGAAAACTTAATATTTGAGAGAAGATGAGAAGAGAATTACTGATATGGTCCTTTTTTATTCTCTCTGTGGTTGTTCATTCTGCATGTGAAACCACTTCCAACCCTAAAACCGGAGATTATACACCTCTGAAGAAGCAGCATGATTACCTTAAGCTTAAGGGTAAGCTCACAAATTCTCTCGACAGATCGAGAAATATTACTGATCCCTACGTTCTTTTTCGCTAATTTTATCAATGTTATAAGCTCCGCAGATGTATATGATACGAGGAACAAATCAAGCACAATGCATGAAGTTCAGCATTTAAGGATTTCCCAGAAACTGAAAGCAAAGCCAACCCCCGGTGGTGCCTCCGACCTAAGTCGCACCCGTCCCAGCAAGGGTGCAGCAAGCTCTGTACTAGCTAAACACCCCAGTTTCTTCCTCTTCGCAGTGTTCAGGCATGTTGCTGTTGGATTGATCATCTTTGCTCTGTATTAATCGCTTGAGGTAATTTTGTACACGTTATTTAGGACGCGATGGATGTGGAAGTTTCGCGATCAAACTTTCGCTGTTAAACCCGTTTCTCAAACCTGCTTCTTATGTAATTGTAAATTAGAATATCTACTTATTGCATTATTTGACATTTCTTCCCATCTACCCCTGTTCTTAGCCAAAGCATATGCTGTCTGGTTACTGTCATGCCACGCAAAACACTATGGTCGACGAGGTGTAAACAATATAAGCATGGCGATGTTTAAACGAAAGCAGAAACATGATTTGTATATGCCATGAAAGTATTATACTAAATACAAAGAGAATACATGATTTATTTGGTCTTATCAAATTCAAAGCCATCACCGCGAGCGACCACTGCCTTTTAATAATATATCACAAAATTAGTATCACGTATCGTATTATCTTCAACATATAAAAGAAGGAAGCTTCAATATTTCAAAATACTTCACTTTGGTGTCCTCCTGCTCCTTTAATTAATCATATATTATGTATGATTATCCATATTTAGTAATAAAGTATGTTAATTACTCAGATGAAAAGTGTGGTTAACCTATTCGTCTTTTGCTCTATGACTCACCAAAGGACCTACAGTCGATGCAGTCCGTTGAACTTTCGTGTCCCCCATATATATTTAATTGTCTCTGTAGATTGCATTAACTTTACCAGGCCTGCAGAGATGATAAGTGAGATGAAATCTGCAGTCTCTCTCTCACAGCTCGTCGTCGTTCTCCTTTTAGTACTAGTAGTATCCTCTCAATCTCTTTCAAGCTCCGCCGTGCAACTGCCCAACTGAATAATCCTACCAGGGTTCTTGGCGGCCAGCAAATCCGGATGCAGCAGCAAGAACCAGAAGCAGCTGCAAATCATCATCATCCTTAGTGCCACATGCCAAATCATCATCATCCTCAATTTCAACTCGGATGCCTTCTCTTGTAAGGAAAAGGGGTTTATATATGTTCGTTTGGCCAATGGGCAAATGGGCAAATTTATCATTATTCTTTGCATTGCAAAGAATCAATTGGCCATTTCATGTTTCATTTCCAATAATTCCTCCTTTAATTCCTTAAAAGACGAAGAAAAGGTGATTAAATTTCCGACTCCAAAGCAGTAGCGGAGCCAAGGTGGGGGCAATGGGATTTCTTGACCCCAATAACCTTGTCGCTGACTCCATGCTTGCTTCCTCCATGTGCTAGCCATTAAGCTTATGAATGTGTGTGCAAGCTGTCAGTGCATGTGCTAGCTGAAAGTTCAAGTTCTGATTGTGTATAAATAAGGCTTATAAGGCTTTAGAAATAAAAAATCTGTATCCCATTTTCCCATGCCATCTGTTTGTTAGATATATAATTCTTTCCATTTTGCATTAAAGCTGGCGGCTTCATTCTTTGTGCATGTTTATTTGCTGATTCTTTCCTCTAATATCACAAATCCTATTGCTTTACCCACCACCGTGAATCTACCGCCAGATCGTCAGACCCGAGTTTTCGGCCTGTCCTGTCTAGGGCGTCGAATCCGCCGGCACTCCGTCGTCAGCGCGCAGGGATTTGGATTCTTTGGACTCCTCGATGGGTCCCAGCGTGGCCTCGTAGCCTTTGGCGAAGTACCTGGCGCCGATTAGTTTGCGGTTACAATTGGAGGAGTTGAAGTTGGTTCCAGATTTGTACATGCCATTCCAGGAGGTGGGTATTGTCTCGGTGGTCTGGCCGAGTCTGAGGAACTCTGGGGTCCGAGTCGTGTGGAGCTCGTACTTGAGTTCAGGAAGCACGGAGAGTACTCCAGGTTGTGAACTGTGCGACGCCGCTTGCTCTGACGTCAGCTACGACAGTATACTCCTGACCCCATCGATGTAAATTTCAGGCTCTGCCACTGCTCCAAAGTCATGCAGAATTAATAAGGATTTTATCTCTTCAAATATATATTTAATACGTACTCACAGCGCATAAGCGCAACGATATATTGACAAATTAAGAAAGTTTAAACATTTCAGGAGCCTAATACCTATTTTGTTTGGATAATTAATTTCGTTAGTCTCCCTTTTCCTATTTCCCACCACCACCATTTGCATGCACATGATACGTAACTAGCGGCAACGAGGGAGAAATCCGACACAAGACCTACGCCTCATACCAAGTCGTCTCTAAAATACAAATTATTATCTTGACCTTGTGATCAGGTGTGTAAACCCTAATTTTCTCCGGATGGAATTAGGGTATACAAATTATCATTGACAAATATGACGTCGTTTCTACATAAATTTTTCTTGTTTGTGATCCTCTTCGTTGCCACTTGTGATGATCATATGCATAGAGCTTCGGCTGACCAGGATCATGATCGGGATCGCGATCATGAACATTATATTGAAGCTGTTTGCAGGCTGTAGCATCATAGAAGGCAAGCAAATGAGGTGGTTCCGTTGCATGGACGTACGTTAATCGGAGGTGGTGGGGGTGGTTTCTTCATCCATCCGGAAAAAATGGTGCCGGGAATTTCTAATTCGTCTCACGCAAAGATGTCAGCAGCTGCTGCTGCTGCAACTTCAATTTCTCACCATGTCTGCACCGCCGTCCTACCGGCTGTGTTAATATTCATTTTTGTTCGTTCTTTCCATTGTGAGGTATGTATATGCTATTGATATCATCACACCCACATAAATTACATGAACTTTTGTTTGTATCTGTTTCTGAAGGAAGTTGGGGTTACATGGTAAAAGTAATTAGCAAGTAGTAGCTTAACTACTTACAAGCATATGTAAGGGTTCTCATTTTTTCGATGTGATATTGATACTCTCAACATACCTCCTCATGTGTGACTAATTTTTAAGCCTAGCACATACCTAGATAACACAAATAAGATGACCTAAAGCTCGTGTGGCCCAACGGTTTCACACATAGGACAACATACTATAATACTATGAATAAAGTTAAGTTTCACATAAAATCAATTGGCCACACGTGCTCCAATATAGAAACTTCATGTTCTTGATTTTGATGATCATTTACGATGTACGTACATATGAAATATTATTGTATATTTATGTTGAGGATTTGATTTTCGGATATATTGGATTGGAATTAATGGATGAAAAATTATTTCAAAAGATCCAAATTTTGGATGAGAAAAGCAAGAGGCATGTATATTTATTGAGATTCATAAAGGATTTGCAGAAAGGAAGCAAAAGATGATTTTCCAAACCTAGTTATTTTTCCCCTTAAGATACTACCTTGATAACCCGCTGCTGATGTGGAAGTCAGACTTGTGGTTAGGGGAAGGCTGAAATGACTCTAGGAGTCTTCCCGGCTCCCGAAAAGGTTGGATAACCGTGGCTTACCACCAGTTGTCCTCCTTTTTAAGAAAGAAAAAAAATCGAATCACCTTGACTTTTACTGCTAAGTGGTGGCTAGAAACATGATGAATAAGCACCCATTGACATAGAAACAGAAGCAAGCCATCAATTCCTTTGTCTTCAAGGGCTCCCCAAGAAAAACATAATAGAGGCATCACATTCTCTTCTATCCTTGTCAACGTGATTTGCTCGACCTTTAAGAAAAGGTCTCTAGCTAATTTATTCTCAAACCTCTAAAACTTTCGAAGCACGAACTTTTCTGATTAGCAAAGATGTAGATTCGAACTAAACATCTTCCAACATTAAGAGAGATTTGTACCGCTATACTATATTAAGAGCTAGTTACGTCAAAAACACAACTTGATCGATCACAGCCACCATCGAATCGCAAATCCTCCCGCCCAATTGGTGTCTAATTACATACACTTGACAATAATCTTTACTACGATTAACAAGAATCTTTACTTAAACCACCAGCCATGAAAACCCTAATTTTTTTTTCCTTCGCATTTCTCATTATCTTTACGCTTAAACAGATAGCAACAAAGTTCTATTTAAGTGTCACTCTTCCTAATCAACCACCTTTGAAAAATCAGTTACTAATATTATTAGGTTGTTAGAAAACCTAATATTTGAGAGAAGATGAGAAGAGAATTACTAATACGGTCCTTTTTTATTCTCTGTCTAGTTGTTCCTTCTGCATGTGAAACCACTTCCAACCCTAAAACCGGAGATTACACACCTCGGAAGAAGCAGCATGATCACCTTAAGCTTGAGGGTGAGCTCACAAATTCTCTCGCCAGATTGAGAAATATATCCGATCCCTACGTTCTTTTTCACTAATTTTATCAATTTTATGAGCTCTGCAGATGTATTCTATACGATGAACAAATCAAGCAGAAAAGGCCATCAAAGAATGCATGAATTTCAGCCTTTAAGGCTCTCCCAGAGAGCAAAGCCAGCCAACGGTGGTGCCTCAGACCTTTGCCGCACCCGTCCCAGCAAGGGTGCGGCAAGCTCTGTACAAGCTAAACCCCCCACTTTCTTCCTCTCCGCAGTGTTCAGGCATGTTGCTCTTGGATTGGTTGGATTGATCATCTTTGCTCTGTATTGATCGCTTGAGGTAATTTTGCAAACGTTATTTCGGACGCGATCAACGTGGAAGTTTTGCGCTGAAACTTTCGCTGTTAAACGCCTGCGTTTAAACCCGTTCCTCAAACCTGCTTCTTATGTAATCGTTAGGTAGAATATCTATTTAGTTGTCTGCTAACTGATCTGTATATGAGCATTGAGCATGGCGATGTTTAAACGAAAGCAGAAACATAATTTGTATATGCAAATGAAAGTATGATGCTAAATACAAAGAGAAAAGCATTAATACATGGTTTATACATGAACTCCATGCAATCTGACTTAATGGTGTTACCGAACAAGGTTTTCGATAAGTAGAAGTGAAATAGATACAGAACCTTTTGTAAAGAGCTCCACACACCAGCATATACAATATACTTTTCCCACAATTGATCAGAGCAACACGACACGGTCATACATATTTTATTTCCGAGCTTAACAGACTAGCTGAAAACATCTGTCTGAAATCGCTCGTCATACAACCTCCAATGGCCATACCTCTCCGAATGGAAGACTGACCGTGGAATGAAGAAGTTTGGCTTTTTAATCTCCTTCAAATTCTTCAGATTGGATGTTGTGTTCTCAATATCCCGGCTAGTCAAGTTCACACACCCAAATAAATCCAAGTACTCGAGATTTGGACATCCTACAGATATCAAAGTAAACCCTTTAGCCGATACCTTTGAGAACCGAAGTTCAAGGTGCTCCAAACTTGGCATAGATTTGCCAATTGCAGCAGCTTCTGAATTTCCATCCTGAGGGCAAGTTTTTAAGTACTCATCTGGAACAACTCCAGTGTATTCGGATGGATCTAACCAGTTCATCATATTCCGCTTCAAGATTTTCAGATTCGGGCAGTTCCTCCCAATCAACACCAGAGACTCATGAGATACTTCATGGCAATAGCTGATATCAAGTTCCCGGATCATGGGGCAGCGAACCGCTATATCAGCCATGGACGAATCAGTCACATTCGGGCAGCTCTTGATCGAAAGAACCTCGAGGTTCGGGGACCTAAAACATTACATTACAATCACTACAATGTCTTACTTCCTCATTCAAACGGAAGGAAAAATGATGCTTCAAAATGCCATATATGGCAAAAAACACTTCCAATTGTAGATCCGAAAACATTATTAACCAGTTTAAGGTAGTATTAGTGCCATCACAATCTAAACCTCAAAGATCAAATTTTGACGAACCAAAAACTCAAATCTAAACCTTTAGCTCAGCATACAGAAATCAAGATCAAAACTTTATGCCGAAAACATCGAATCAACGATAACCCACTTTTTGTCACTCAAAATTACGCATAACCCGATTCTCCTAATTCAAAACAGATAAACAAATCGTATTCAGTTATACCTCTGAGCGACGTGCGAGAGAGACTGGTTGGAGCAGTGCCTGGTGCGAATCTGTTTCAACGAGCCCGCGCTCCAGTCGACGACAGATCGGAGCATGGAATCGATCCGCCGCTCGAACTCCGGAGTCCACCACCGCGCGGATTCGAACGGCCGCTCGAGTTCGAACAGCGGCTCGAGGTCGAAGGCTGAGTTGAGGCAGGGATCCTTGCACACCTGCAGCCACGGCTTGCAGACCAGCATCGGCCCACTCCATCGGTGCTCCAGGGTGAGCCGACCCAGGATGTTGATCAGGCACTCATGGGTCAACTCGGCCCAGTCCGAGCCGAACTCTGTCACAGTTTCTCCGGTGTCGGTTGTGTCCATTTTCAGTTGTTGCGCAAAACGAGAGACTTCGGTTTCTTTCGGTTGAGGCTTCGTATGGGAAAGTTATGATATGTGGGCAGATCGGTCATTTTACGTGCAAGGTTGTTCCAAAACTTGCCACGTGTCCGTTCTTGTGTCACTACTCATCTGCCTATCCAATAGCGGCTTATCTGAACCGTTAGTAGTTGTCGGTGCATGATGATGTTATGCATCATGATGATTCATCATGTAAGTAGACAAATTTTAACTCAAGTTTGAGCAAGATGCACGAAATCTCTTTACGTGATATTTTTTTGAGCAAAACAATATAATTTACATTAAGAGGGGAGGAAGGTGGAAGAATTTAGTTAAGTTACACAATAGATAACTTAATTTGATATTGAATTCGTCATCTTCAAGATTTGAACTTAAAATTTTTCACTTACAAGTAAAAAGATATACTACAAAACCGTAGTACTGAATGACTTAAGTACTATAAATGCACAGAAATATACCACCAAAATACCTAATAAGGTTATTATTCGAGCCGAAAATAATGCACAGGAATATACCACCAAAATACCTAATAAGGTTATTATTCGAGCCGAAAATAACCAAAATTACTAGAGAAGGAATGAAAGGCTTGTTAAGATGAAGTCTATGTTGCAATGCAATATTCCTTGGGGAACTTTAACGAAAAATTTCTGGTATTGTTCATTTTAACGAAAAATCATATTTTTACATTAAAAAATCAATTATGGTACTATTAACTTTACCTTTTACTTTGTCATTTTCATTAAAACTTAAAGTTTTCAAACCCTTTTCATTAGTTTTTTCATATTCCTTTCCAGCTCCCCGCCTCCCACCAAGAGGAGGAACAGTTGATGCAGTTTCATCTCATGCCTCCTTAAACTAAAAGAAGGCCTTGTTGGCTCTAGCTGAGGAGAGAAACTTAACTACGGCTCACCTCCGGGAAGAAATCAAAGGGGAGGTGGGTGGTGGTTGTGGGACAAAATACTCGCTTTGTGTGAGTGTGGAGGCAAACGCCCAAGTAATCATATGCCGTACTTAAGTTTTTCTCCTAGCTTGGAAAAACAAGGAGGGAAATGTTCATTGGGTTGTATCGAAAATATAAACACATACTCGAAGTATCAAACCCTTCTCGAAATTCAAATATACTCCGGTGTAGTGTATACAACGAAATATCTATCTAGTAGATCTTGGTTAATAAATCATCGATCAAGGAAGTATAGCGTACTCCGGAGCATAGTAGAAAATTCTGTTTCTACCACAATTTACAACATGATGAGTTCTCCCACGGCAATTCTACATCACTGCAAAACTCTACTCAGTTATTTCCATTTACATCACTGCATCAAGCAAGCAATTGAGTATAAAATTGGGTACACGCGAACATGCAACGTCCCTTAATTTCCCGATGCCGAACAAAAACAATCAATCAGTCTAACACATGCAGTATACAATTCAGATCTCGACCATCGAGAAATCATTCAATTTAATTAAAACATAAAATATCAACATAACAAGCAACAAAAGATCCAAGATCCCATTTTGTTCTGAACCCAACAAATTTTTTTTTCAAAAAAATGAAGAACCACGTTAATCCGAGGAGGAGGCGTAGAGGGGGCGGCGGTACTCATCGAAGTAGTCGTCGCGATTGATGAAGACGATGGCGTAGAGGGCGTAGATGATTCCCGGAATGTACCCCAGCAGCGTCAGCAGCAAGCATATGCAGAACTCCACCTGCACAAGTAATTGCCAATCCAATTCCAAAATTCAATTTTTCACCATTAATAAGATCAAATCTGCCACTAGAAGAAGACGACGGAGGAGAAAGGAAGGGGTCTTACGGTGCAGCAGCCGTGCCGGAGACAAACGCCCAGCGGAGGAAGCAAAATTGCGATCAGAATCTCGCAAAAGATCTCGCAGCGACTCGGCATTTTTGTTTCTCAGATATTTTCTAGAGAGAGAGAGTGCTTTTGTCTTAATGAAGAAGCAAACAAAGATAAGATGGTTGATGAATCGTGACGGTGACGTCCAGTGTATTGGGCTTTTTTTTGGGGCCAGAGCCAGCCATATATAAATAGATAAAGCCCAACTTCACAGTTTTGGGCTTGTCCATGTAATGGGCCGAAATACAGAGCCAACCCAATCAATGAACAGTAACAGAAGTAAAGGAGCACAAACTCCCGCTGGTGCTCAGCCCCACGAAACCTACACCTCTCCACCTGCTTTTCGCATGTCCTTCTCCTCCCCTCCTCCTCCGTGGGCCCCGCCATCCCCGTCCAGCATTTCGTCACTATTTCGCCATTCTCTCAGGTACCCGAGAATCCAGTGAGAGAGTATATTTTGCTGTTTTAACTGCAAGTACTTTCCCAATTCAAACTTCAAAGCGCAACGTTCTATTGATTCCATGGAGTTCAAATTCCGATCGGTGGACGAGAGGCCGCCGCCGCCGTCGCCTTCTTCCGCCGTCAGCTACTTCTCCTCCGAGCAAGCCGCATTCCGAGGTCTATCTCTACCTTCTTACTCTTCTCGCAATTTTCTCTTTTCTCGCGTTTGGCTGCCGAGAAAACCAAAAGAAAGTAAATTTAGTTCGAATTTCAGTTCTTTTCTTCATAGAAATTCAATTCAGTTAATTTTCTCGCTCTATAATCTTCTCTATACAGGCCAAACAGCTGCTCTTATTACTTCGACTCTGTCGACGATTTCAACACAACCGAATTTTGCGCCACCACGAACGCCGCCGCCGTCGATTTTCTGGAATCCGGCTATGAGATTGAACCTGGACCCGGCCCAGAACCCGAGGTCCGTCTATGACGAGATGATCGAGCGCCAGCTGGAGAAGGAGATGATCAGGGAGGAGATTATCGCGTCCGAGATTGCGCGACGGCGGGCTCTGGAAGTGGAGGTGAGGAGAGAGCTCATGCTCGAGCGGGAAATCGCCATGCGAAGACCCGCTGGCGAAGGGCTCGGTTTTGATGAGGACCGGTTCGGCGACATGCGGTTCGACCACAGAGTCCGCCACCCCTTCGATGATGACCGGTTCGGATTCTTGGCTTCTCATGCGCCCGCCACATTCGATAGTTTCACGTGGCGGCAGCAACCGGAACCTCTGACCAATGGCTTCAAGTCGCATCCGGCTCCTCCTCCTGCTTTAGACCTCAATAACAAGGACAAGTTGATCATACTGGTCAGTCGCATTCTACATTCTAAAATTTGATTGCTTTTTAACTTAATTATGCTCTGTTTATGGTTTACTGCACTTGTGGTGGGAATGCTCTGTTTTGTGCTAGAGTGGGAGATTTTTCGGGCTTTAGGATGATTTTCTGGTGACAAAGGCATCGCTTGGTGTCACGGATTGAATTGGATAACTCATTGGATTCTATGTACGAGGAAGTAAGAAATTGATGTCAGCCTTCAAAACATTACATCCATTTCTTTCATTAGCATACATTTAGTCTAGCGAGTTATTGAATCCAATCATAGACACCAAACGAGGCCTAAGAGTCGTGGTTAGACCATGAGAACCAAGGTAAAAGATGAGGTTGGTGGTCAATTGCAAACCAAGAGACACCCTTTTTTTTGGATTGTCTAGATTTCCGGCTCCTTCAACCTGAGAAATCTTGGCTTCTGGGGCCATGTTTTACAATTACATTGCGGAGTATGTTACTAGTAGCGTCTGCATTGCCTAGGTGGCTGTGCCCATAACCAATGTTACATTGCTAATATTGACTTAAAAGGTTTATATCAATTCGCTCCCTTTGCATGTGGTGGTCCTTTTGCTTGTTGATCAGCACTTTAAAAGTCAGTCCCAACGGGGCATCATTGTCATTCATTATGTGGATAATTTTTCCTCGATCAGTGAATAAGATGGTTTACTATGACATTTTGTTATAGTGACATCAGTTTGATCAACGTATGGAATTATCTAACATTAATGGCTGTGGTGATCATTGGAAGTTGATTTTTCATTTGTGGGTTCACTTGGAGAAGGCTACCCATGCATATGCGGCAGTCCCTTGTGTTAGGTAAATTGTCCTTATACATAATTGTATCTAGATGCCACACTCACCAAAGTACTTAGGACAGACAGATTCCTCTGCAATTATTTCAGCATCTTGAATATTTATTTTGAATCAAGGTTATAATGGTAAGACAAGCATTGATATTAAAATCATTTATTGGCTGAGTTGTGCAACAACATTCAAAATTGAAGGTTGACATCTTGCAGATTTCTTAGACAACGCATTCTTGTCACTGGTTGTTTCTACTTAAGATTACCGAAAAGTTGTCTATTGTTGTTCATTTGGGTTGAAAACTACTGTTTGTTAGTGTACTCCGTATAAGTATCTTTGTTGCAGGTGAAACCTGACCCAAATCTCTCCGGAGTCAAGCGGAAAACACCACCAACAGTGAGTGCAAGTGAGCTACCCCCATTTGGGTTGAAAAAGAAACCCAAGGAGGAATGGAGCTGCGCCCTGTGCCATGTTAGTGCAACAAGTGAGAAAGGCTTGATTCATCACATTAACGGTAAGAAGCACCAAGCCAAGGAAGCAAGACTGAGAGCTCAGAAACCGAGCTCCAGCAATGCACAATCGTCAAAGAAAGCTGCAAACTTTTCTGAGCCTAAGAAGATCCACGGTATCAGAAGCACAGAATTGAGGGCCAAACAAGTTAGAAAATCGCTTGACCATGATGAAACCAGTGACGTTTCCAACCAGAAAATGCAGGAGCAAGGCACTTCAAAAAAGGAAAAAGAGGAGCCGCCAATGCTGAAAGACCAGTGTGGAGAGGTTCTCAAGAACAAGGACGAGGTTAAAATGGTGGGAGGAGTGGAGAGAAAAGAAGATGTAAAGAAACAGAAGACATTTAAGTTTTGGTGTGAAAGTTGTAAAATTGGTGCCTATAATCCAAAGGTGTGGTCGTCTCATATAAGTGGGAAGAAGCACATTGCTAGGAGTCAGGAACTTACACAATATAATGTTCCGATTGCAAGTTTCATGGCATCATCGGAGGCTAGCAAGGACGCAGAAGATACTGATACGGCCAAAGAAGCTCAGGAGAAGATTCCAACAACCACTGCCATTGCATCATCAGAGGCTAGTATCGAAGCAGAAGATTCTGATGCGGCCAAAGAAGCGCACCAGAAGATTCCAACACCCACTGCCATACCATCAGTAGAGGCTAGTACGGATGCAGAAGATGTAGACGCGGCCAAAGAAGCACAGGAGAAGTTCAATGGCGTCATGATCGAGCTAATGAGAATTCATAACACTGCTGTGGCAAAAGAAGCAAAGCACAGTGCGGAAATTGTTGTTGCAGACACAGATAAATGAGCTGCATACCCAATGATGAATAAGTTGCAGCAGAGACAGGGCGCGATTTGTCTGTTGATGTCCTGCTTTTTATTTCAAGTTTCGGGTTGTTTATTTTCTGTACACCATTTTTCTCTTTATGCACGTTTTTTTTTTTATTCTCTCGCTTTTGAATTGAATAAATCATTAGAAGTGTACCGAAAAAGTAGAACAGGGTTCGGAAATTACTTTTAAATTTTAGGTGTGTAAACACCATGACAATCGTCTTCACCGCGTAAAACCCAAAGGAGGAAAAGAAGACATGAGAGTTGGACCTACTTACTATAAGTGGAACATTTTTTTAGGCAGAGTATATCACAAGGAGAAATATAATCCAACAAACAAAACAAGACAGAAAATCGAAATCCAGGGGAATCACGATCTGTTTGTTTTTACTCTGTATATGCAGATCTGGGCGTAGCCTCGTTGGCCAAAAAAGTACTCTCTCTCACGTAAATTTAAATCTCAATGCTCGTTATTTAGATTAGAATATCGCTCAAATAAATAAACACACACTTGCAGCCTCAAAATCCGACTTCACTCAACTCAACGGAGGATCGTACCAGTTAATCATTTCTAATATTGCACAAACACAAAATTTTGGTTATAAGAGTAAACACTCGTAACCGCATGAGCTATAATTCCCTTGCCACTAATTAAGCGTTACGCTATTAGTTAAAGATGTTGATACAGTGGCGCACCAGGCGTGAGTAAGTCTTAGAAAAGTAGGTGAAAAAGGGGCTTATAAAGCATCCATTGACAACGCACTCCACAAGTCCCATTAGCACTTCCCAAAAGCTAACTTAAAAGTTAAACACGCATGTCCATAGCATTGCTTGAAGGTGAAGCATTAGGAAAAGCATTAACATTTCACCATCACCTTCCCAAACACCTAACTCTCGTGATGGTCCCAAAGTTTTCCCCTCTTCTTTACAAATTTATCGTAGCCGGCCGCTTACGATTTAGAACCAGACGAAAGCAACGGAACAAAATTTGGGTTACCTGTACTTTCGCACCAAACATCGATCATCGATGATTTCAACTAAGCAATAAAATCGAATTCTGTCTGCATCCTAAGCAAACTTTCGCAACATTCATGAACACAAACGAAATCTGAATAATCCTAAACCATTGATTCCATCATTTCAACTGTATACACTCGATATGTAAGACTATAACAACTTTACAAAGAAGAAAATCAAAGAAGCACAGTAACTAAACCGTAATTTTCAACCCCAACAAGATATACGATCTTCATCAGTAAATTCTTTAAGAAAGAAAATAAAATCAGACCCGTAAAGCCACCTGATCTTGCCAAGTAATCTTCCTCTTCCCGGATCGGTTTGCCCCACTCCCGATAGTCCTGCAAGCCAGCAGCTTCATGTCATTGTGCTGCTCGTCATTTCCCCCTCTGAGTAAAGTTTTGTTAGGCTCCTCCATCCTCATTGGCTCATAATTCGCTTGAAATTCCTCCTCCTCCTCCCTCTGTTGCAAAATAAAACCAAGGAACATCAAACCTCACAGAACAGAAGTAGCACCGAGACTCAAAAGCACATTACTTGGAACATTTACTATTTGATTACCGAAATCTGGTTCAAGTCAAAAACTGGAGTGCTCTTCCGCTTTGCCGTGTCCTTCCCGCTCTGAACCCTTTCCTTCTGATTTAAGTCAAAGTTTGGAGTGGGGGTTCGCAAAGTAGCTTCCTTTCCGCCAAGAGCCCTTGCGTTAAGGTTTAAGTCAAATTTTGGAGGAGGTTTCCACACGATGTCTTCCATTCCATGTTTAACCTTTTCCTTTTTGTTCAAGTCCAATGAAGGAAGGGGGTATCGCGATGCGGATTCCTTCTTACTGGAGCTCTTTCCCTTCAGATAGGTCACGCGTTGGGTATCTGGATTGTGTGTTTTCACAACATCTTGCTTTGGTCGAGGGTTTGTCGACTGATTCCCCATTAAGTATTTGTATCTTCTCCTCAAAAACCTGCAAAGTCGAAAGATAAACAATTACCAAGTCGTCATCTTTCGTCTTTCATTGTACATATACGCTATCTCACAAGTGCACATGGTATGGACCAGATGTCATACCTTACTTCGGCTACGAGCGTAGACTTTTTCTGTTTCATCATCTGCAATTTCTTCTTCATAGCATCTGCATCCTGCAATAAAAATGATTCCTCAATTAGTTTAGTCAAGCTCTAATATGAATCAGCATAAAAATTAGTATTTAAACACATTTACAAGCTTCCAATTCCTTTTTTTCTGGCAGCCACAACTCAAAAGAAGCAACAAATTTCCAAACAAAAATTAACATAAATATACCTACAAATTTCAAATTCCTGCTTTTCCTAATTTTTCTATGGCAATCTCTAAAACACAAGGAGATCACAAACCTACTGGGAAAAAATTTAAAAAAAAAATCCTGAAAATTAGCTGAGCAATCTCTCTCTCTCTCTCTAAATCCCAACGAAATCGAGACCCAAAATTCAATCTTTTTGTTCTTCTTTCATGCTCAAATCAATCCGGCATACATACAAAACAACCCTAAAAAGTCCAAAGCTAGAAAACCCAAGAGAAACGAACACCGTACACCAGATCTAATGAAACCCCCAAAAGAAAGTTGAAATCTTTTAAATACCCAGAAAAGATTTATACCTTCTGCAGCTCCTCATAGTCTTGCATGAGACTCTGGTGCTTGAACCTGGTCCTCTGGTCCTCCACAGGATCAGAAACAACCCCTTTCATCTTCTTCATCAGATCACGGGGAGAAAGTAAAACAACACAGAACCCAAAAACCAAAAATTACAGGGAGGAGAGAGAGAAAGACGGGCAGGAGGAGATGGGTATGAAAAAGGAAGAAAGAGTTGGGGAGGAAATAATAAAAGTGGGTAGGGAGAGAGAAAGAAACAACAAGGACAAGGAAGAAAATAAAAGGAGAGAGAAAGAGAGGGGTGGGAAGGGAGGAGAAGTTTCTTGCTTTCCTGTTTTCTCTGTGAAAACTCTGACCAAGACAACAAAAACCCCAAAAGAGCCCACATAACTCGGTGAAAAATAATGTTGTTTTGAAAGACAGTGATGAAGATGGGGAGATTTTTTGGGGGGTTGCAGAAGGGCATTTCTGACAACATGCTTGTGGATGAGAGAGAGGCTAGAGAGAGAAAGAGAGAGTTGTGTGAGGTGAGGTGGGTTTGGTTGGAGGACATTAGAAGACATCTATCTCCTCTTTCTTTTCCTTCTTTCCCCTTCTTTCCTATTTTGTTTTTCTTCTACATAAATTTTGGTCCAGCTGGGCCATTGAAGAGAGAGAATTTCTAGAGAGAGAAAGACAGAGGGGAAGAGTTGGGTGTGGTGTGGTGTGGACTCTTCTTTGTTTTTGATGGGGGAAGGGGCGTGCGTGTAACTTCAATGTTCCTTCTTTGAAGGTGCGTTTTTCTCTGTGATGGATGAGAGAGAAAGAAGAAAAGACTGAATCTTTAGAAAGAGAAAGAGAGAAAGATTGGTGCTTTTAGAGAGAGAAAGAGGTGGGCATTGAAGATTGGGGCTTGATGATGATGAAAATTTTTAAAAAGGGCAGAAAGAAGGGATAAATGAGAGATAGAAGTTGCTGCTGTTTTCTGATGGGCTGTTTGCAGTTGTTGGTATTGGGGCAGTAGTGGCACCTTATTTTTAGGCTTTGGAAGATAGGGGTCAATCGCTGCCCTATTTACCAAAACACCCCTCTGGTTTTTCTTTGATTCCAAGAATGCTTTGCTTCTCTCTCTACCGACCTCTCTCTCCTCCTTTTTCCTGTTTTCACCCCAACAGAAACTTGCAGACAAAAGAAGAACAAGTCCCTGATTTGGCTTGATGCCAGCAACTAAATTTCCAAAAAATCAACTCATCAATGGCTTTATACTATTGGAGGGGATTATCCAATGGCACACAACTCTCACATAGAAGGGTAAATTGGTAATTTTAAGGTCATTCATAAATGGAAAAGATGCCATCCACACCAGCTCGCCTACTTGCCCTAGCCAGTAGCCACTACAATTTGATGATGGAATGCTTCATAGCTCCAGTGATGGAACCAAAGAAATTGAAAGAAGGATCCAATACCAGTCTCACTCCCTATTTACCATTTTGTCCCTCAAAAAAGTTGATGCGCATTTCATGGAAGGTGAGACTATTTGGTAAATTTCAAATCCCATCTAATGTATTTGGAGAGAAAGACTTCATGCAACGTAGATGATATTGTGTCGTTTTTCTAAGTCCAAAGGTATAATGTATTTAGGTTACTGTCATGATAAAATCCTTGATTTAGGTAAGTTTTTTTCTTGAATGAGACAAGGCATTTATGCGAGTTTTATTCTCAAAATTAGAATGTATTAATTTGAGTTCTATAATACTATTTTAGTGGTGCGAGTTTGATTTCAATTTATACGAATTAAACTCAAAGTTTCCCGAGTCATTCCAAAATCTCTAACAAATTTTTCTTTACTACTATTAATTAATTAATTAATTAATTGCAAAACAGAGGAGAGCAAAGCAGGTGGAAACCACTGGGGTGCACGTAAATATTGTGGTAGAGTGCTGCTGGTTTCCTTTCTTTTTCATGTGCTGGCAGCCTGGCATCTGCCATGGCATTACACATTGACTCTCTCTCTCTCTCTCTCTCTCTCTCTCTCTCTATCAATAGTATAATCTGAGGGTGTTTTGAGTAATTTGCAGCTGGGTATTTTAATGGCAACGACTGAAATATGTAAGAATCCATGAAAACGTGAAAACAGGGCAGAACTAGAATTAAGAATGGTAGTTTAACTTTAGGATTGGCAAAAGGTCAAGTCAATTGTCTCAGTGTTTGTGTTTGCTTCTTCTACTTATTGTTTAATTAGTATATTCTTTATGGCAAACAAGCCATATGAATATGAAATCGCTTCCTTATCATGTATAAAATTGATAACAATATCCGATCACATCATATGTAGGACATACAAAGATACAAAATCTCTTGTGCCATTTGATTCTATATTAATTTGTCCATGCGAAAATTATTCTAGTTAAATAGACTTGAGAAAGTTGTTCGGAGAAATTTGGCGAAAACGTTCAAGAAAGGTTTACCATTACATGGCCAGTGGCTAATGACTTTTAAATAGGGTTTTGGATTTGAACAAGTCAGTCAAGCCATCGGCCCCCTCAGAGTCTCCACCCGCTGAGAATTGACATCTCCATTCTGTTCAATACACGCTCTTTTGCACGATGAATTCAATTTATAATTATCACCCTGATGACTCATTGTCTTACAATTTTGTGTGCAGTTTGAAACACCAGTAAACCACCGGCAAAGACCAAGTATCCTTTCTCTCCCTCTCCCTCTGGATTTTTTTAGTATGCACTAGTGTACGTATTTATGGTTGTTGAATCCTTTGACTTTTGGATTCTTGGCTTTACATTTAACGCTCGATTCATCTGTAACATGTCGAACAAATAAAGGTGATGATGCATCGTCAAGGGTTAGTCTTTTAGTCTTTCCCTTTTATGTACAAATTTAGTAATTTGATAGGATCAAGTTAGCCAACTTTTGAGTTGAAAGAACACAGTGCTCCCAACTTTTCTCAACCCCTGGCATGCATACATGGAGGGTTGAGCATTTGGAAATAAACGAGGTGCGAATATGTGCGCAAAGCCTTATGGATTGCCGCATTTCGTTGATACAATTGACAAGCTCAGATAAATTTTGTAATGTAGAAGCAGAATTTGATGGTTACTATGAAGGGAACCAGCAACCTGCGCGAACGGAGATCACTGAGGCTGCAACTTACTGGCCTTGTTCAGTCAGATGATACGAAAACCATCTTTCGAATGTGCTTGTTATCTGTGACAGATCAAAATTCAAAACCAATGGAAACTTTGGCAGTATGTCATTTGTTCGGTTTTATTCTAGTGATCCACCGAAAGTGTTATATATATAGCTGGTCGATGAAGATTATACTATATGTTATTATGTTTAATCTGTCATCTTAATGCAGAAAAATGCAAACAGCTCGAAACCGTGCAAATGCATTCTTCAAGTAATGTAACTAGAAACTGATGTCCATTTGTTGCTGTTCAAAAAATACAATTACATGCTAATTTTAATGAATGAGTACTAATCTAGCTGTGCCCTAACGATCTGTTTGTGTTGGAATTTGGCGAATATATATGTATTCGAATTTCCGAGTAGCATGTCAGTTAGGTTTTGGCAATGATCTGTGATGTATGTGTGTGTGTGTATTTTTTTTAGGGTTAGAGGGATGACACTCTGGTTCATAAAGCAGGGTAGAAAAAATGAAATTTTAAATACTAAACTTTAAGCAATTAATATATCTCACGTAACGGATATCTTACTATATAAACAGTGGAGCGGGATACCAACTATGAAGCAGCTCATCTTTGGTTTCCTTTAGGTACCGTTTGGTACGCAGACGGGACAGGACAGGACGGGACGGAACGAAGGTTTCGTGTTATGTTTAGTACGCGCAGGATAAAACAGGACAGTTGTTCCATTCTGCGTTTGGTACGCACTGGACGGAACGAAACCAAAAGATTAAATGACTAACTTACCCATGTATCATCATATGCCTTACAATAAGCACTAGAAAACCCCAATTAATTAAAAACCATAAAACTTTCAACAAGCTATCAATCCCAGATTGTCTTGGATGTAATCTGCACAGAGGTTGAAGGCAGGACCAGTAATTTTGTGGGCAATTTCAGGATTGAACACAATCTGACTTCGATGATCAGTCTAGTCGAAGATAATGAAATTCTTCGGGTAGATGCTAGAGGTTTGAAATTCAACACCATGGAAAGGTTTGAAGTTTACTTCTTCAATTCCAAATCAATAGTAAATGCCCTCACTCTTCCACAGGAAAAACTAAATGGAAACAAAATCCCAAAGTTAATCAAACATTATCCAACACTTCGCACAATAAACACACAAAGAAAACCCAATTAGTCTAAGGAATCAAAATTTCAAAAAAAAAAAAAAAGAAGACTATTTCATTAGTCTAACAAAGCAAAAGCTCATTAGTCATTACTAAACTGGAACCTGATCAAATCACAACACAAAAATCAAATTAAAATGATTTATTAATTTGAGCTATTTCCTAACAACATAAACAGAAGCTAATTACACAGAAACACTCAGAAAACAAACAATCAACATAATTAAAAATTACTTGAACAATTAATCCCAATTCAAAACCCTAGATTATGAATCCAAACCAAACTAGATCATTCATTATATTGTATCATCCAATGAAATCAACAGGAACTACCTCAAAAGCAAACAAATCAACCTTCAAGCCCCTTAAAAACCAAAACCCAGAAAAAGTTACAGCAGAAAAATGTAAAGATCAAAACTTTGAGAGCAAAACCTAGGTTTTAAGGAGAAGATGGCTGATTAGAACCAGATTATCGATTGCAGAGGATCAGATAATATTGTGAAAAAAAAATGAGATTGGAATTGGATGCAGAGATCGAACCTGGAGATGCAGAGCTTTGAGTTCCACTCCGTGGGAAAGAGAAAAGAGAGGCTACAGGAGAGGATGAGGAGGAAGGTTGCGAGATACCTGGGAGATACATGCAGCAGAGAAGAGGGAAAGAAGATGATAGGGTTTTGTTATGTGATTTGTATGGTGTAAATATTGAAAAAATAAGGGGCATTTTTGTCTTAAAATGTTAAAATTTTGTGTTCTATGGGCGTGGAATGAGTCGTTCCAAGGGGAGAGGCGGAACGAAAAATCAGCCAAATTTCGTTCCGTGGGACAGCGCGTTCCACGGTTTTTGGGCACACCAAACATGGGACGGAAGGCCTCGTCCCACTGCGTTTCGTCCCGTCCCACATACCAAACAGTACCTTAATTGTGCTAGCTCATGTTCCATTGTTATAGTATGTAAAGATATACACACTAGCAAATCTTATGGATTTTGAGAGGTGGAGCTATATATATATATATATATATATAGAGAGAGAGAGAGAGAGAGAGAGAGAGAGAGAGAGAGAGAGAGATTCCTATTTTTCAAAAAAATGAGAACATCTTCTTAATCGTTAGATTTGACTTTAATGAAATTCTGTATCCTGTAATTTAATCGCAACCACAGAATTTCATTAAAATCAAATCTAATGGTCAAGAGGGTGTTCCCATTTTTTTTTGAAAAATGGGAATCTCTTCTCTTAAAAAGCCTATATATATATTTGTGTATATATGCTGCAGTTTTTGAGCAGGAAGTGTAGGGAAATTTTGACTTTAGGAGCTTAGTTACGTAATTAAGATTATGAAGGACAGCTAACCAAACTTCCAAACTCCTTTCTCTGATAAGGTGGATGTAGACCACTCAGTATTACGGTCTGGTTGTAATCATCGTCACTTAGAAGTGAAAAGTCTTATATTCGAATCTCGTAGATGACATATTCGACACCAAATTAGCCTGTTTATTATTTAATTTTGCCGAACTTCCCATTTTCTTTATATAAAAATATCAATGTATTAAAAAAAACAATAAGGTGGATGTAGTAACGTTATACTTGGTGCAAGTTTGGTTAGAAATGAAAATAAATAAATAATTCGATTTGAAATTAGATGATTTAGGACTGTGAAATTAAGAATATTAAATCTTATATCTCTAGTGGGCATGCTTTCTAGTGGATCCGAAAAACGGGAACCTCCATATATGGGTCGATATGCAACACTGTGCATATTTGGGTCCAAATGTACGTGGGCTACACATGTAGTGAATTTGCCATCATGCCATTCACATGGAAGGAAATTTCACGTGCGAGGCGACCTGATCAGGTATTTTATTCAATAATTTATATAGTGTTATTTATTTTTTCATCTAAATTATGTAATTGAAACATTAAAAATACAGATTCACTAATACTCGATAACGTGTAGATGTATTTATTAATTAATATTAGATAGTTAGGCATGACTCAAGATTATCTCAGTGCTCGTACTCTACTCATATTTTAAGGATTGAGATTCATTTTGAATTTCTAAGTTCAGAGCCTACGAACAAAGAGGTTGAATTTCTGTATTTAGAGCTTACGAACAAAGAGGTCCAAACCGTTTAAGAAAAAGAGAAGAGAATCCGATCGTTCAAGTTTTTGGATATGTAAAGTACGCCGATAGGAAAGGCTAATAAAGATTATATGTTTGAAAATGAGTGGTTCAAATATCTCAATCTAAAAGCTCCGGACACAAGAATAAAAAATAGATTTCAATCATGTTTCAAGGCAACAGAGCACCAAATGACAAGTGTGGATGCAGTTCCCACGCTATGTTGATACGTAGGAGGATCGCACATTTAATGGACGCTGTGCTAAACCCATGTAGTGCCCTCACTTGACTCATTTTCAACCACAATATGGCCATACCATGCACCATAAAAAATAAAAAGAAGAACTAATAAAAGAGTTTAAAATTTTTGAAGTTTTAACTATAAGGATGAAATAAAAGGTAAAGTGAATAGTACTATGATTGACTTTTTAGTGTAAAAATGTGATTTTTCGTTAAAGTGAATAATACCAAGAGTTTTTCATTAAAGTTCCCAATATAAAATTGTACTGATTTGTTTTCGATAGTCTAGCTTATTAATTAGTTTGGATTTTTAAACTACTTTTATCTTTCATTTTTCTAAACTACTAAGTAGCTCATATATTTGGACCCAACAGGATCCTCTTCGGGTTCTTTTGATGAGGATTTTGGGGATTCGTTCATTGTACATTATGCGGTCAATTTTTATCAAATACTGTTTATATTTAATTTTAAGTAAAAATATTTAAATAATTTTTTATCCCACGATATACGATGAACGGACATGATTAATGGATCATCAGAATCACCACAATGAGGATCTAGCGAGGATCCGAATTCTATTTGGACCATCTCTTTGTACTTTTAAACTTGTCAAATAATATAAGTACATAGTTTGAATACAAATATTCATTTCAAAGGTAAAAAAATTAAGCAGCAACATAACTACCGAGGTGATTTATTGGTTGAGGACAAATTCTATGTTCGTATTACGTTTTGAATTTGATTTCTAACGCAAGTGAATTACATGATAGTGATTAGGATAAACAAAAATGCATCTATAAGTCTTTACAATCCAAAAATAATAAACTGCCGTGATGATGGAGCGATCTGATGCCCTTTTTGAGGAAAAAAAGAATAAAAAGAAAAAGAGCGGCAACATAACGTCCAAAACTGTTGCTTTCCGGTAATGTTGAACTGGTTTTACCGTCCAAGCCCCCATTTCAGAGGTCAAAGTCCAATAAGGAAGGAAAACTGGTCAAAATTGGAAACGCAAAAACCCGAACTTTCGAAGTTACCCTCGCTTTCATGGACCCTCGTATATAAACCGGGACCTTCGCAAAATTCCCAATTTTATTCTGTCCTCTCCCGAAATCAATTTTTTCATTCTTTTTCTCGTAGAATTTTCTCACGTTCGAAGAAAACACTGGTATGTTGATAGTTGTTGTATTTATTTACCGAAGTTCCCAAAAAATTTCGATTTATCGATTCGATTATTTCAGATTCGATGGTTTTTATTCAATTTGAGGGTTTGTTCGAATTTTAGTTGAATACTGATGATCGAGTATCCCTTTTCCTGATCCATCGATTTGTGGGGTTTTTTTTTTTAAATATTTACTTTAAATTGTTGGTTTTTGGGATTTAGGTACTGGTAAAGCAAATGTCTTTGATGGGATTTAAAATTTGGATTTTAGTTCGATCTCAAACTGTATATATTCTTTTTTTTTTTTTTTTTATTTATTTGTATTGTTGGAAAATTGTTGAACTTTAATGGAATTATTCATGAGCTAAAAAAATCATGATCATATTGTTTTTGTTGATTAATTTGAACCAATTGTTTTTTGGATTGATGGGTTGTTGGTAAATTGAATGAGATTTTGAAATTTCTAATTTTTGGGTTTGATTGCAGAGAGACATTGAAGATAATCGAAGATGTTAGAACAGTTACTGATATTTACTAGAGGAGGATTAATTCTCTGGACATGCAAAGAGCTTGGAAATGCTCTTAAGGGATCTCCAATCGACACCTTGATCCGATCGTGTCTTTTGGAGGAACGGTCTGGTTTAGCTTCTTTCGATTACAATGCCCCTGGGGCTGCTTACACGCTCAAATGGACGTTCCACAATGAGCTCGGTCTTGTGTTTGTCGCTGTTTATCAGAAGATCCTCCATCTGTTGTATGTGGATGAACTGCTTTCGATGGTGAAACATGAGTTTTCAGAGATTTATGATCCAAAAAGGACAGTGTATGCTGACTTTGATGAAACTTTTCGACAACTGAAGAAGGAGGCTGAGGCTAGGGCTGAGGAATTGAAGAAGTCGAAGCAGGTGGGTAAGCCTGTGAACAACAAGAAGCAAGGGCAGGTGCAGAAGGGGGGACTTGGAGGAGACAAGAAAAAGACTGAAGGTGGTTTGGCAAGTGACGGTGGGGATGGTGATAATATGAAAGGCCGTAAATTGGAGAATGGGATCTCCAACGGTAATCACGTGGATTTCAAAGAATCTAATGGTACTGCTAACGGAAAAGAAAATACTAGTTCCAATCTTGGGGCTTTTGATGTAAATAAGCTTCAGAAACTTAGATCTAAGGCTGGGAAGAAGACAGAGAAAACAGCTACTGTTGATAGCAAGAGCTCCAAGGCTGAGCCAAAAAAAAAGATAACAAAGAAGAATAGAGTTTGGGATGATAAACCTCCTGAGTCGAAACTGGATTTTACGGATCCTATGGGTGAGAACGGAGACAACAATATTGAGGTCGTGGCAGCAGATCACGGTGAAAGTATGATGGACAAAGAAGAGGATTTCAGTAGTGAAGGTGAGGAGGAAGAGGAAGAGGATGTTGGGAAGGAAAGCAAACCTGATAAGCAAAAGAAGGGGTGGTTTTCATCCATGTTCCAGAGGTAAATGTTTTGGAAACCTATGATGTTCGTTATGTTAAAATGACTATTTGAGTTGGTGAAAATAACTGCTATTGAAATGGAGCAACACTTCAAGTTTCTCTTTTTCTCGATAAATCTGAAATGGCTTATGTTTCCTTGTATTGTCAAGCCAGTTTCGTCAGACTGTTAGGTTGTTGCATAATTTTTATGCCTCTTTCGCTTGTTTGTATTCAGTATTGCTGGCAAGGCGAACTTGGAGAGGTCTGACCTGGAACCAGCTTTGAAAGCTCTCAAGGATAGGCTCATGACCAAGAACGTGGTATGCTCTTATACTATTTTTTTTTTTCCCATATTAAGCTGAAGTTCGTTTTATCAGTAACTTCCAAGTTTTTTAATTGATGGTACAAATATAATCCTTTTCAATATTTGTCACCTGATGCTACACTACTTTTGATCTTATTGAGCCATCTAATATGATTTTGTGCTGTTGCATTACTAGGCCGAGGAGATAGCTGAGAAGCTTTGTGAATCAGTGGCAGCTAGTCTTGAGGGTAAAAAGCTGGCTTCTTTCACAAGAATATCTTCTACTGTGCAGGTTTGTCAATTTAATTCTCTTCATTCCTCCAATATCCTGTCTGCCCGTTTGGCCTCTATTTATTATTTTTGTCAGGCTATAAGACTAATATTAGGCATGTATAACTTACTATAGACTGCAATGGAAGATGCTCTTGTTCGTATTTTAACTCCCAGGCGCTCTATTGATATACTGAGGGATGTGCATGCTGCCAAGGAACAAAGGAAGCCGTATGTCGTCGTTTTTGTTGGCGTCAATGGAGTTGGGAAATCTACCAATTTGGCTAAGGTTGAGCTGAATTCTTTTCTTTGTAGTATGTACATTAAGGCATGCCTTTACTGAGTGGTTTTATTAATCAATTGCACCTTGCAGGTTGCTTATTGGCTTCAGCAGCATAACGTCAGTGTCATGATGGCTGCCTGCGATACATTTCGATCAGGAGCTGTTGAGCAGCTGCGTACTCATGCACGCAGACTCCAGGTATGATATTATAGGATTCACATTCACTTAGGAATGGCTGCCGGTTCATTGGATAAAAATAATTAATTTTCTGTCTGGACCTAACAAATAACTTGTAACCAACCTTCCATTTCAGATCCCTATTTTTGAGAAGGGATACGAAAAAGATCCTGCAGTTGTGGCTAAGGAAGCAATCCAGGAGGCCACACACAATGGTTCTGATGTGGTTCTTGTTGATACGGCTGGTCGTATGCAGGTACTGTGTTTCTAGTTCTATAGCGTGTCATGTTGTTTTGCTGTGTTTTGTGATTTTTTGTTTGTTTTTAGTAATTTATAAATAATTTTTCTTGTATGCCTTTCAGGATAATGAGCCATTGATGAGGGCACTGTCCAAGCTTGTCAATCTTAACAACCCAGATCTTGTCTTGTTCGTTGGAGAGGCACTGGTTGGGAATGATGCTGTTGATCAGCTTTCGAAGTTTAATCAGGTTTGAACTCCGTATTCATCTTCTCGGTTTTTTTTTTCTAGTATTGTCCAATTTATGTTTGTTTCTGTATCATTATTTGCTTACTGGCTGGTTTCTGATTCCACTGTCCCTGTTCCTGCAGAAATTAGCGGACCTCTCAACTTCGCAAAACCCGAGACTGATAGACGGGATATTGCTTACTAAGTTCGACACTATTGATGATAAGGTAAACAAGCATTTCTAAACTGCAAGTACTTACGAATATTATTGCAATTTTGGCATGTTTCGATTTTTTTAATGATACGTCAACTGAATTTATGTGTTATGGTTTAGGTTGGGGCTGCGCTGTCCATGGTTTACATATCTGGAGCTCCGGTCATGTTTGTCGGGTGTGGCCAGTCGTACACTGACCTCAAGAAGCTGAATGTGAAATCGATCGTGAAGACGCTCCTGAAATGAGAGACATCGAGCTGCGCAACTTCATGATTCAAAGCATGCTGCCAGTTTATGTTATGAACTCTGTGTCCTGCTGTTTGCTGCTGTACCTTTAATTTGTATTGTCTCTGTTTGATCGACCCTAATATCACTGTGGTGGTGTTGAAAACTTTGGAGGTGAATCAGTCCTTTCGGCTGTAATTTAATATCAGATTTATTAGATGCTGTTCTGTTCAAGTTGCTCTCTTCTCTCCCCCTCTCTAGAAAAATGCCCCAAATTATTCATCCAAAGTTAAAATTCTATGGTCTTCGGAGTATTGAATGCTGCGGATTTTTCAACCGCTAGATTTTTTATTTTTGTCATTCAATGTTTCTGGGAGTATAAAACTTGTCCTGTGTTCGGGCGAGAGAGACTTTTAAGTTTCTAAGTACCGAGGAACTTTAGTCCATTTCCAATGGAATGTCAAACTCTAACTGTCAAACTACAATTGAACTGTTGTGGCAATCTAAAGTTATATGTTAAATTTTGTGTTCTTCCGATCAAATTGTCAACTATTATATTCTTATTTAATGTAGATTTTTAAGCGATTGTATTTATTATAAAAATTGTTGAAATAAAATAAATTTGACGTTGAGGGCTTCAAATCCAATCAACAAATAACACTTCGGTTCGTAACATCCCCACCTAGAATTTAACATATCCTTAGAATATGCTCTTGTCCAAGTTGCTCCTCCTTTTATCCCCTTCTCCCTAAGAATGCCCCAAATTCTTCATGCAAAATTAAAATTCTATGGTGTTTGGGAGTATTGAATACTCCGGATTTTTCAACCGTAAAAACTTTAATTTTTATTATTCAACTTTTTTGGCAGTATAAAACTTATCCTATGTTCAAAAGAGAGGTTTTCAAGTTTCTACATACCGTGAAACTGTAGACTCGTTAATGTTACGCTACAAGAACACCGCCAAATAAACTACTCAAGCAATACAAATTTACTCCTCAAATGGTTATTTTGTTTGTAATTTCAACGTAAAACAGGAGATATCAATTTAACATTTGGAGAAAAATTTAAGTGTACTGGAACACGACCTAGTATATTAAGTGTCATAATACAATTGATTATCAAATTTTCTTTTTAAGTTTCTAACTAATCATATTATTATACTTAATGTAACAAGTTGTGTTCCCAGCACAGTGAAAATATCTCCTAAATTTGGTGGCTTTTTCAGGCTCCTCCACCAATCAAGAGGGGTTTGCAAGTTTTTGGGCATTGTCCTTAGATGCCCAGATGACAATGTGCACCCCACTCTCATTGCAGCTTTTGTTTTTGTTAAAAATGGTGATGGCATGGTGATGAAGTGGCTAGCTAGGGCAGGGCGTGTAGGTTTCATCCAACCAGGCCATTCGTGACGGTGGTTGGCTCCGAGTGTTACTTTTGATCTTAGTGTCACGAAATGGCTCAAGAGAAAAAGAGAATATGTATGACATTATTGGTAGTTGCCAACATTAGTATTTGTATTTGAGTATGTGAAGCTTGTGCGTTAATTTAACTTTTTAACCAAATGATTGTGTACCGAGTGGCACACTAGTTCGGTTAAGTTCTTTTATGTGCCTTGAGTGAATGAGGACTTAAAATTCAGTGTAACTTCGTGTATGCTTGCCTAAAAAGTAAATGAAATTGAAATAGAAACTAAAACAATAAATAAAATGTAATCATTTCATGATGAAGTCAAGATTCCAAACGTTCACAAAATAAAATGTTGGCTAGTCTTACCTTAATTTTCAAAACTTCAAGGTGAGGCGAATGTGAAAATAAATAGATTGAACGATGATTTAACTACGACTGGGTGAGGATCGATAGCGTGGTACTGATCTTTCCCTATTTTAATTTATTTATTTTATTTGAGTAACCACTATTAAATTCAAAGATCATTAAAATTATGTTTTAAATCGTTGATTACAAATGTTTAAATATGAATTATAATATATTCTCCACAGAAAAATATATTTTGAAAAACATGAATATAATAGTTTGTTGTTATGGCATGAGAAATAAAATAAAAAAAAAAAGTATAAAAAAAAGAAAAAAAAATTGAAGAGGGACAATCGGTATGATGATAGCGACTAATTTGAGGTTCAGTTGCTACCTTGGCAGCAACAGTGCCACTTTACAATCGGTAGTGAAATATCGATCGTATCATTTTCTATTTTCTTTTTCCATTGAATTCTTTTTTTTTCTTCCTACCTTACTTTATTTAGATTCAAATACCTTTAGATTTATATTTATATCCTTGTTTTCGATTTTTTGACATGGATTATAAGAAAATGCATTTTTGTAGAACATGAAAATGATAGTTTGGTGCTAAAGTCGTTGATGAATGAAAGAGCTTCCGTCTTTATGGCACCCTCTAGAAAGGGTGAGTCATAAGGGAAAAAAAAGACAAAAAAAAAAAAAAAAAAACATACAATAGTGGTTTATAAATGTCCCACCTTCGGCAACAATGTTTCATCCGGCTAACCATGGTTGACCTCTGAGATTAAAACTAAACTTTACCCCTATTGATAGCGGCCTATAAATGCCCACCCCTGGCACGAATGCTTCGTGCAGGCAACACTCCACTCGTGGGATTAAAACAAACCCCTACCCCCTACAATGCCCTTCCCTTGGCACCAATGGTTTGTTTAGGCAACAATGGTTGATTCGTGCGATTAAAATTGAACCTTACCCCACATTGATAGTGGCTTATATATGCTCCACCCCCGGCACCAATGCTTTGTGTAGGCAACAATGGTTGACCCGTGTGTCGAGCCCGTCTTGTTTTTCATGTCGTATTTTTGGAACGTCGAGCCACCTCAGTTCCCGAGCGAATCCTGTCTCGTTTTGTGTGCCTCGTTTTCCATGCCTGGAGCCCTCTCTACAATTATACAAAACCCTGACTAACTCTTCAATCAACCCCACTGCTTTTTAGCACAAACCCAATTGCTCTTCAACAAAACTCTCTTGTTAGCTTTTCAGCTACAATCTCAAAGCCTTCCTTCGAAGCAAACACTGTTTACAATCCCTGAGATACCAAACTTTTTACAGCTCAGCTTACATTACCCATTAATCAATTTGTGTATTAATTTGCTTGTTAATTGAATTTTACCAATTATAATTAATATTAGGCATACAATGACCCTGGCTATAGGCATACAAAATCATAGATTCATTTACCTTGTAAAACAAGTAATAAGAGAGGCCCTTCGTATATATATGGATATAATTTGAGTTTTGTGCCTAATTAATGACACAAAATCATAATTAAAAGGGTATTGAATTTTTTTTTTTTACTTGACTAGTCCTTTAATTTTCTTAATTATTTCGAAAAAGATATTCAAAATTTGAATACAAAATGATGGGTACAAATTTTGAGTAACCGGTTCAACCTACGTCTGCTTGATTTTAATCTAAAGTTGAAAAGTTATACCACTCATCATAAATACATAATCTGCAGTTTTATGATCAAAATCGAATGTAATCACACTTATTCGGAAGGTAAAAAGCCGTTTCAGATTTTTCCTCTAAAAATTGATTTCATATTTACAACCCAAGATTGCAAACCAAAAGCCCCCAACACCAAACTTTAACGCCTATATATATACAAGAACCACTGTATCAGAAACCCTAAAACTTGAAAAATCATATAGCACAGAGGCAATAATGGCGTCCTCAAGAGAGATTTGTTTTGCAGTTTTGTCCTTTGTCTTCGTGTTATTTGCTTTCTCCGAAGCCAAGGACATTCTGGTTGGAGATAAGAACATTTCTTGGAACGTTGATTCTGTCAAGCCCTTGACTCAGTGGGCTGAGAATAGACGATTCAGAATCGGTTATGTTCTCAGTAAGTTTCTCACCTTTAAATCGCCATCAACCTTCTGTTCATATCTACTTAAAACGAAGATGCCAAGTCAATCGCTTACTTTTATGCTCTTAAAGCTTTCTTACTCAATAACATATGATTGACTTGGAATAGCCTTCGTCGATTGAATAGTGATCATTTTTGAGTAATTCTTGGTTCTTGAGAGATATATTTACCCTTTTATTTATTTCTTAGATCACATTGAGAGGGGATTGTATTCCGATTGTACACTATAATCTGCCATTTTCCTTCGCTTTTGTGTAATGATATTAAAAACTTAACACAAAATAGTTATCAAACGTTTATAAGTGCGATATTTTTATTTTGGTGCATGCATGCAGAATGGAAAAAGGAGGAAGGGAGGGACTCCGTGGTACAAGTGACAAAGGAAGCCTATGAGACCTGCGACACATCGAAGCCAATCAAAGCAGATGTGGAGGAGATCACGCTGGACAGGTCAGGACCATTCTACTTCATCAGTGGTGTTAAGGAGCACTGTGACAAAGGCTTGAAGCTCACGGTGGTGGTTCTGACGGAAAAACATAAATATGGTTCGTACTCTCCGCTGCCTGCTCCGGCTGCACCGCCGTCCAGTAATGCTGCTGCCCCTGGTTTCAGTTTGAGTGCTGGGTTTATTGCGGTTGTGGCGGCAGTGGGGATGGCTTTGATTTGAGTGTGAAAGTTAGAGATGTTGAGTTTGATTAGCGAAAAGTATTTCGTAATTTGAAGTTATGAATATGTATGTTCTAGATAACATTTTTATTTATATATCATATTTTGTTATATTCACTTATGGATTGATGAACTTTTCTTTGGTAGTTCAGATTTAGGGTTCGTTTGGGAAAATTAAGAGACATATATTGAATTCAATCTTTTAGTAAAAATGTAATTTAATTTTGAAAAACCATTTGTATTGCTTCTTCCAATTCTTATCACACTCATCTAAACTTATGTGGAAGATCTAACTACACACTTTAAAAGTACTTTTAAAATGGTTAAATCTCATTTGATAAAAATATATTTGGTACCCATTTTTAGAAAAAATGAAAGTAAATTTTGGAAAAACACTTGGAAGTGCTTCCTACAAAAAGCACTGAAGCACCAATTATGTGCTTATTGCATGAAATGCTTTTGAAACCTAATAACATTCTCTTATGAAAATTCTATTCACTATCCCATTTTTATCTTGCACACATCCTCATAAAATTTTGTCCATTGATCTTCAATTAATTCGATCCGACGATCAAAAAATGAAAGAATTGTGTAAGAAGTAAAAATAGGTATCTGAAAAACACTACTCTTCTCTAAAAGCGTTTTTAGTTGTTTTAAAATTATTTATTTA